ATTTGAAAGACACTTTTGTTGTGCCGTCATTTAGACGGAATTTGGTTTCAGCTTTCTTATCTGGACAAATTAGGTTATTTGTGTTCATTTGGAAACAATAAGTTCAGTTTGTCTTTTAATTCGGATATTATTGAACTCGGTTCACTTTTGCCTTATGATAATCTATATTTACTTGATATCGTGACCACCTATAATGAAACCCTTAATACAGTAATCACTGGGTACTAAACGTAAAATTGATGATACTCACTCAGGAGCATTATGGCACAGGCGCTTAGGTCACATCTCTAAAAATAGAATTGAACGACTTGTGTCAACTGGAATCTTAGAGTCAATTGACTTCACAAACTTTGATGTTTGTGTTGAATGCATTAAGGGCAAACAGACCAAAGCGAAGAGATTAGGTGCATATAGAGCTACAGACGTCTTAGAGTTGATACATACGGACATTTGTGGGCCATTTCCTACACCTTCGTGGAATGGTCAACAATACTTTATATCATTCATAGACGATTACTCACGATATGCATACTTATTCCTTATACATGAAAAGTCACAATCTCTAGACGTGTTCAAAACATTTAAAGCTGAAGTTGAAAATCAACTCAATAAAAGAATTAAGTCTGTCAGATCTGATCGTGGTGGTGAGTACTATGGCAGATTTGACGGGTCAGGTGAACAGCGTCCAGGACCTTTTGCCAGGTACCTAGAGGAGTGTGGAATTGTCCCACAGTATACCATGCCGGGATCACCTAGCATGAATGGTGTAGCTGAAAGACGAAATCGAACTCTTAAAGATATGGTCGGGAGTATGATTTGTCATTCCACCTTACCGGAGTCACTCTGGGAGAGGCACTAAAGACTAGCAGCTTATATTCTGAACAAAGTACCAACTAAAGCAACGACCAAAACACCTTATGAGCTTTGGACCGGGCGACAACCTAGTCTGAAGCATTTCCATGTGTGGGGATGTCCAGCTGAGGCAAGGCCTTATAAGCCAAATGAAAAGAAATTGGACTCCCGAACAGTAAGTAGTTATTTTATTGGTTATGCTGAAAGATCCAGGGGATATAAATTTTATGATCCCACATTAAAGACAATTTTTGAGACGGGAACTGCTACGTTTTTTGAGGATATTGAGTTTGGGGGGAAGAATAAAATCAGGAACTTTGTCTTTGAGGAAGAATCGGTAACAATTCCAGAACCGATTCAAACAGTTACTTTTGATAAAGTAAGTTCGGAACCTCCACAAGGCATTGTTAATGAACCCCTTACTCAAGATGATTTGGTTGTTCATGAAGAACAAACTCAAGATCCTCAAGAACCTGTGCATCATGAGCCAATAACTTTGCGGAGATCCACTAGAGAAAGAAGAAGTGCTATTTCGGATGATTACATGGTATTTCTTCAGGAACATGAAGAAAACAATGGTATGATGGAAGATGACCCAGTTAACTTCCGTCAAGTCATGCAAGGTTCTAACTCTGAAAAGTGGATCGAAGCAATGAAGGAGGAGTATAAGTCCATGCAAGACAATAAGGTTTGGGAACTTGTCCCATTACCAGAAGGTATGAGACCCATTGGTTGCAAGTGGATATTTAAGACCAAACGGGATTCTAAAGGTAATGTGGAAAGGTATAAGGCTCGTCTAGTAGCTAAGGGCTATACCCAAAAGGAAGGGATTGATTTTAAAGAGACTTTCTCTCCAGTTTCATCGAAAGACTCTTTTAGGACAATCATGGCTCTTGTAGCACATTATGATTTAGAGCTTCATCAAATGGATGTCAAGACGGCGTTTCTTAATGGCAACATTGATGAGACGATTTATATGGTGCAACCAGAAAATTTTGTGCAAGGAGATTCAAAGAGTATGGTTTGCAAACTGACAAAATCCATTTATGGACTAAAACAAGCATCTCGTCAATGGTACTATAAATTTCATCAAGTAATTCTCTCATTTGGCTTTGAGATGAATATTGTTGATGATTGTGTATATCACAAGTTTAAGGGGAGTAAGTATATTTTCCTGATCTTGTATGTTGATGACATTCTACTTGCCACTAATGATATAGGCATATTGCACGAAACCAAGAAATTTTTATCAAAGAATTTTGAAATGAAAGATCTTGGTAATGCGTCTTTTGTATTAGGAATTCAGATACACCGAGATCGATGTCGGGGTATTTTGGGATTATCACAAAGGAGCTATATCGAAACAATTCTTAAAAGGTTTGGCATGTATGAATGTAAATCCGGGGATACTCCAGTTGCTAAGGGAGACAAGTTTAGTCTCAATCAGTGCCCAAAGGGAAATTTGGAAATTGAGGAAATGGAAAAGATTCCCTATGCATCAGCTGTAGGGAGTTTAATGTATGCCCAAGTATGTACGCGTCCAGACATAGCATACATAGTTGGGGTTCTAGGCAGATATTTAAGCAATCCAGGAATGGACCATTGGAAAGCAGCAAAAAGGGTCATGAGATATTTAAAGAGAACAAAAGATTACATGCTCACATACAGGAGGTTAGACCAGTTGGAGATCGCTGGGTTTTCTGACTCGGACTTTGCAGGATGTCAAGATAGTTTGAAATCCACTTCAGGTTACATTTTCATGTTAGCAGGTGGTGCGATTTCTTGGCGCAGTGTCAAGCAAACCCTTACAGCTTCATCCACTATGGCAGCAGAATTTGTAGCATGCTATGAGGCGTCGAATCATGGAATATGGCTGAGAAATTTTGTCACAGGGCTGAAAATTGTGAAAGGCATTGAAAGACCACTTAAGTTATATTGTGACAACAAATCAGCTGTATTGTATTCCAACAACAACAGAAGTTCGACTAAGTCAAAGCACATCGACATTAAGTTTCTAGTTGTTAAGGAAAGAGTACAAAGTGGACAGATTTCCATAGAACATTTAGGGACAAACTCCATGATAGCAGATCCTCTAACTAAAGGACTTCCGCCCAAGGTCTTTCATGAGCATGTTGCTCACATGGGTGTTTTACAGTTTGAGGAATTTGTGGTTTAGTGGGAGTTAGTCATTTTCATATATTTTATGTTCTATGTTTAATTTTATATATGTATACATTGAATTTTTGGACATATTTGGTTATCTATAGATATGCGGGTTTTTTTTTGTTCATTCATTACACTTTGTACATTAAGGTTATTATATCGATCTCGATAAGTTAAAGTTTGGACCAGTTGAAAATAGACGTGTACAGATCACCTTCACGTATTTTTTCATGCTACACATTTCATGATGAATCCATGTCATTTGGTTATGTCAGGATGAGTAATCTTGTTGGTTTTAGTTGCGATGATGCAATGAAAAGCTGGTTTGGTTCTATATCCTGATATGATTAATGGACAGGACTTTTGGAATATGCTAAAGGAATATAATGACAATTTTGAGCTCATAAAGTCTAACACATTTGTAAGGTTGTAAGGACATATATATTTGTGACCAGTGGGAGATTGTTGGAAAAATTTGGGTCACGTATATATATGATACATATTTAAATGTGTTAGTGGTCATTATTTATTAAGCCAAATAATAAAGTGATCTGAATAAATTAAAGTTTTGGCTAAAGGCATATGTCATGAAAATAAAATTGTGTAGAGACCATAGAGTAATTTCTAATTTGATGAGGGGCCAAATTGGAAATACTAAAATTTAAGTAATTAACCTAATTTTGGTTATTTAAGGGGTCATGGTCCCCTTCTGGGAGCACACACACAGAACGTAGTTACAGTCCCGTTCCTTTCTCTCTATCCCCATCAAGAGAGAAAATCAAGAGGGAAAATACAGGTGCTCTTCAGGTGGAAGACCATAAGATCAAATCAAAGGTGCTCTACAAAGGATATCGTCATTATGGTCAAATCAGGTACGCTTTCGCATTTTAGTTTATAACATGTCTACAGTATGGGATTATACATGTGTTTGATCGTTAGAACGAAGATCATATTCAATTAGAGTTTAACCTAACAATTGGTATCAGAGCCAAGGTCACGAGTTCGATTCCTGGTGGGCAATTGTTGAGGGGGAGATTGTTGCAGGTTGCACAATTGTCCCGTGGCAGAGCCGGGTGGGCCAAGTCACAATCCAAGAGTGGGATACCTTGTAGGACAATTGCTGAGGGGAGATTGTTGCAGGTAGCATCAATTGTCCTGTGACGAAGGTCAGGTGGGCCGAGTCACGATTGAATCGCATGCGCTTGAGTCGTTAAAGTAAAAAGAGTTGCTTCGACTAATGGCTATAACTTTTGGCCTAGTGGTAAGCACTCGATCCTAACAATAATTCCATTTGATGTTTTCAATACGATTATTGATCAACATCAATAAATTAAATAATATATTATTAATAAATAAATAATAAAATTATAAATACATAAAAAATTAATGATTATTAAATTTAAAGAAATTAAAATTATAAATATATATAAAAATTATAAATATATATAAAAATTATAAATTATAATATCCCGGTGTGAAACAATAATACCACTTGATAACTCTAAGTAATAAGGAAATAGAAAATTATGTTATCTATTAAACATCACCAACTATTATTGAAGAGAGTAGTTTGTATTTTTAAAATTTCTATAATAAAATCCTAACAGATAGTACATAAAAAGAAATAGACAGAATTTAAAAAAATTGAGAAAGATATTTTAACTATGATTACAGAATAATTGATAAAAATAAATTAATTTACTTTAAAATTCTAACACATGAATTCTTTTGAGAAAAAAAAAACTAAAACTCAGAAAAATAAATGAAAGTAGGAAGGAACAAATTGTTAGGAACCTAAAGTCAAACATTACATTAACTTGAAATATAAACAGAAATATTTGAAAAAAATAATGAACATGGTTGTAATAAAACTCTTACCCCCAACACACATGTTGAGAAAATTAATGCCACAGGACAGAATTGATTGAAACTTCCTCGTAGCCCCATTTTTTTGTCCACCTAATTAATTTCTTCAGATTCTTCTCCTACTTCTAAGCACATGCAATGTAAGACAAGTTCATTTATTCCACACACAGCATAAATAAAATCTAAATATATATTTAGGATAACTTTTTCAAAATAATTTATAAAAAACATATAAAGAATAAATTAATATTGAGTCGTTTTTTATTGTTTTTATTTTTATCTGTACTTTATTTTTATTTAAAAATTAAAAATATTATAATATTGTTATAATTTTAATTTACGTGGAATTTTATCAAACTCTATGATTCAAGATTTTTTATCACTTTTTTATTTTAAGAAAGATTTTTTTATTATATATTTATTTTTAAGTTGTTTTAGGAAACAAAGAAACGCTAATAATTTTGATTTAAATAAAGAAAGTAATTGCATTGGCATGTAAGTGAATATTGATGGCAGGAGTTGAGAGGGAAATAAAAAAGTGAAGTACAGAGAGAGGGTGCAAAGATCGGGTTGAACCTCAGATCTCGTGTGGGTGGCGGCATCGTGGCCATGCCTTTCTCTAACTTTTTCCGTCTTTTTATGCTTTTTATCATGTTTTTCTTTGCTTTCTGCCTTCCCTATGCAGTGGACCCCCTCGTTTATTTACAAAATGAAACAAAGAACTGTTATTAGATGAAAAAGCATCATATCTATTTACCTTTTAGCTCACAAAAAAGAGTTTATGATACAATGTTCACCATAACATTCACTAACTAACAAGTTCATAAAAGCCTTAAAATCTTAATTCTCATACAATTGTTATAAAGATTCTTGCATGTAAATTAGTTAGACATTGTCCCAAACTTAAAACAACCATTACAATAATTAAGAACTTTAACGTATATAATATCATTACATTATAAAAATAGGTGTAAATATTACAAATAATTACACTTCCGATACATTTTAATCAAATTATTTCCCCCAAATACTCCCTAAACTAAAACTTGATTAAATTCTAATTAAATTATTTTCTGAAATACTCCCTAAAATAAAACACTTTTCAAGTTGAAGATGTCGAAACTTGGGGAGACTTGGGGGCATCTCATGTCATGCAGTTATCATCCTTATCTTCGTGCCAAAGCTTGGCCCAAGTAACAAAGAAAATAATGTCGATGGTTAATTTTTTTCAAATTTATTATTCCTTTGTTCATTATTCTTTCTCTCATTCTAGTCAGACAAACATTTTGTCAGTCCCCTTTACCACCCAAAAATTGAATCTGTTTCGTCTCTGATCTTAAAGGACACTTGACTAATAGTTGCATTGGAGATAGATTAATGTCCACCAAATTCTAATGTATTCTTATGTTCTCTATTCATCTCTCAAATCAAGAGTTAGGCATAAACATCACCAAAAGGGGGCAAAGAGAATCTTCTTCACGCAGAAGATCCACAAAAGACGCAGTACAAAAGCCACAGTCCCACACAAAAAGAAAATGCTACTAGTCTATTCTATTACCTAGAGGCTATAACATTTAAGCTCCAAACAATACCTATGCGCTGATGTACACAGAAAAACAAGCATAGTCACATTAAATTTCCATCTTATATGGTCTTATATTCATCAGCCAAGTGAATTTCATTTTTGTTTTCATTTCAAACATTAGAGAAATATTTGTTAAAAAAAATTTCAACAAATTATATGAAATCTTAAATTACTAAACTTGATGTTTGGGTAAACTTGTCTAAGGTGCTTTACGTTGACCAGTCTAACCTTCCCTTCCCATATCTGGCCGAAGCCTTTCCTCGGAACCATTTAACGTTAAGAAGCAGTACAAGACCAGAACGAAAACACGAGTGTGAAGTCAACTAGAACCATCAGCAACCAAGCATCAAGGAACACAAGTTAAAAATAACATTTTGACCTTTCAAGTGACCGGAAAACAAAATCTTGAAACAGTAAAAAACTGCAATGTGTGAATCCTATTTTAGAGAATATTCTTCCAATTAATGAGCCACTACAGTCGGAAGAGTATGCTACGTAAAAATATATGGTAATCAGGAACAAGGTAAATATGAATTTCAGTCCAACTACGTTCCATAATTCAAATTGGGAATAAAATCAAAAGGCATCCTATTTTTCACATTCCAATCATTGAAAGTTCCATACATTGAAAAGAGATCCGGAAAGGGGAACTGCGCATAATTTAAACTGTACGAGTAAGCAAGAGACGTTAAATTATTATTTTGACAATTTTTGACAGTAGAATGGTGTTACCAGAGTCCAACATTTTGGAGATGCAACTCACAAAATGAATACTTTACCAGACAGGAAAGGAAAATTCACAAACCAGTCAAAATCAAATTCAAGATGCTTTCAAGGCTTCCTCAACTGACGTAATAGTAATTCACTTTAATGAAGCAATAGGTTGCATTCCTTTCTCACATATGCCTATACCAACTATATATAACCTCTTACCCTTAAGTAACTAAGATAACTCGGATCATGGGCTTGTATGCAAATGACGAATGCTGCTGACGCTATTGGCTTTGACTAGTATAAATATTTGCTGCCATGTTCTGCATCATTAATAATCGCTATAGCATAATAGATAATCTCATCCATATATCCCTCAAACACTAATAAACGCATGTTTAAGCATATTCATCAGAGACTCTCACAGGAAGAAGTGTACAGTAATAGACTGGCAGCTATTCAGTTCGCATACAGCCTGTAATAAGAGCCACTCCCACGGATATATTAGACATCCTGAAAAATAAAATGTGAACAAAAACTCAGCAACTGATACAATAATTCCTTTATCCATGAAGAATTATCCTCGCAGCCACTTTAAAGAACTGAGAAAAGTACAGCAAAAACTGCTAAAGGAAATCCAGCAATTCTGAAGTATGCATCATATACTCTTCTTTAAATCTCTAATAAGATTTGAGGATTTTAATTCATTCTTATTACTTTTGTTGAAAGGGGCTTGGATGAGAATTTGCAATTGGAATGGCTTCTCAAGGAACAATAAACAGTATAATTATAAAAAGCACATGTCAGTGACAAATAAGAATTGGAATGATAATTGACAACTCAACATATCCACGGAGAAAATAAGAACTATAAAATGTTCAATTGGTAAGGGCAAACTAGGGATCCTACAACTTCCCGAAACAGGAAAAAGAGTTGTGGTTAACACAATGCTTGATGTCAGAGATTAAGGGAGAAGGTAAGAAATGCAACCAATGAATTAAAAGTGGAAATGGAACAATCTCACTTCTATTGGACCCAAACATTTCAAAGCATCATGCCACGGATGGACTGGACAGAAGGGTTTTATCATCTTGTAGCAGCTACTTTCTCATTCTGACTTTACACTTTATCGTGATCAAACTTAACATAAATATCAGTACTATTTAAACATATATCAACATACTAACAAAAGAACCAAGTTGCTAAGAAACATCAATTATTTTTCATTTTTGTTAGTATAATGAATAAATAATGTGTGAACTACTTTTAGTTTGTACACCAACTAATCAAACCTGAAGGAAGAGTCACAACTATTCTTCTTTTTTTATTTAGTCTCCACTTAAACCCTTCCTTTCTCTTTACTTATACTTGTCACCAAATAAAGCATTACTAAATAGCAATGAACAGAAGTGAAGTGTAACCAAAAGCTTTTTGAGAGAAATTGTGCAATAGATTCAACCCCTAATATCTATTTATATTATCAAACTAGATACTAGTTTAACACAACAAGGGAAAAAAAATAAGCAAAAGACCATTTAGATCATACTACTCCTAAAAAAACAGTCCAAATAATCTAGCATTGCCCCTCAAAGACTACACTTAAACCCACTACTCTCAAAGCTTGTAACTGGAAAATATTTTAATGTGAAGGATGCAATAATCAAAGAGAAAGCAAAATAGAGAAGTTTACGCAATACTAGTACAGGATGAGAAAAAATTATGGCAACAATGATGCACACAACCAAAAGAGAAATAGATGGCTGAAATGATACTTGGCCATATGAGTAGACATCTAGAAAGATAAAAGCCCATATCAGGCTTAACTTGATGACAGTTTCTGGCTAGGAAGAGAACACAAGAAACAAACAAGGCCATGAGGTAAACAAATTGACTGATGAATAAGTATGAAACAAAACAGCCTTACTATAGGCCTATAATAGCGAAAGGGAAAAAATGAGCCAAAAAAAGATGAGCAGAGAATATCTTGCATAGGAACAAGGCCAACAAGAGGAGAAACAAAGTCAAACAAGGGAATCATCGTGTAGACACAGTCAAGGAGTTCCAAGGATACAGGAGTAGTTGAAACTGGAAACTAAAGTAGTCAGACCAGGCGCTCGTAGTTGTTTAATGTGGTAAATTATGGATTTTGATTTATACCCACGTTGAATTTTTGTATGAAGGTTCACTTTTTGTTTCCTATGGTGTCAGCTTTATTAATAAATAATTTTTTTTTTATGTTGAACAGAGAATTTTGGACTTTGATTGATAACTCAGGTTGAGCTCTTGCACAAACGGCTTGGAAATGCTCACCGTTTATTCTAAGTTGCTTTGGGTGTCCACTATTTTTTATTTGGACAATTTTGAGTTTTGAGTGATAATTTTATACCGGTCTCAAATTCATGCATGCGCTGATTGAAAATTATGTGTTTGTTGCTTCTGATTCACCCATCTTGCTTTTGAAGGATTGTTGGCTCTGTCATATGTGGCTCCCAACTTGGTCTCTAAAATACTCATCAGCCATAGATACTCTTGGTCCTCAAAAATAATCCAAGATTAACTGGGTTGAATATGTGCAGGGATTTCATGTTTTCTTCCAGTGTATGCAACTATGCATTGCTTTCTGGGCTTAATTTCTGGAAGATGTAGTCCGCCTCTCTTTGGTGGTAAAACTGTACAGGGATTTCTTGTTGCTGCTCAGCATGCCCGAATATACTTTCTTTGTTTTGGTTACAAGGCATTTCTAACTCGACCTTGGCTAAAAAAGGTGAAATAGTCTTTTTTTATTACTTTAATATGTCTTTCCTTCGCTTCCTTATTCCTTTCCATTTCTTTCCTCTCAATTTTTCTTCCCATTGAAAACAGATTTAAACAGTTTTCAGTACTTTAACAGAAAGCAAGGTAGAGGAGCACGCATTACTCTTGTTAACTAATTTGTTAAATAAGCAAACTAAACCAATACTATAGTTGCAGGCATACATGAGAACCTCATTTAAACGATGCACCTCATTTAAAGCTTTATTTGATTACCACTTCTGTAACATATAACCTAATTAGAGTTTTAAATAATCAGAGTGTTGAATATAAAGAAAATATAGTTTGGAATTAATTTCCCTTGTGTATAAATCACACATAGGGTGGTCTATTTATAGTAGAGAAATACAACTAAAAGAGTAACTGAAAGTAACAGAATAAACAGAAGATATTGTTTGATATTGTGGTTACCAATATCTAACAATATCTTAACAATATCAAATAATATATAAACAATATCTAACACTCCCCCTCAAGCTGGAGCATACAAATCGTATGTGCCAAGCTTGTTACAAATATAATCAATTCTAGGACCCCGTAAAGATTTAGTAAAAATATCTGCTAACTGATCACTTGAGTTAACAAACTCAGTCTTGATATCTCCAGACATAATCTTTTCTCGAATAAAATGACAGTCAATCTCAATGTGTTTGGTCCTCTCATGAAAGACAGGATTAGAACTAATATGAAGAGCAGCCTGATTGTCACACACAAGTGTCATTTGAGTGACATCTCCAAATTGTAACTCTCTAAGCAATTGCTTGAGCCAAACAAGTTCACAGGAAGCCGAGGCCATAGCTCTATATTCTGCTTCCGCACCGGATCTTGCCACAACACTTTGTTTCTTACTTTTCCATGAAATCAAGTTACCACCAATGGAGACACAATATCCGGATGTAGATCTTCTATCCGAAGGAGATCCCGCCTAATCGACATCTCGAGTAGCAAACAACTCTTGTATGGTTATTAGAAGCATATAACAATCCTTTTCCAGGAGATCCTTTAATATACTTCAAGATACGAATGACTCGCATTCCAATGATCTTCACATGGTGAATTAAGAAATTGACTTACCACACCGATCGCAAAGGAAATGTCGGGACGAGTAACTCGTAAGATAATTCAATTTTCCAACCAATCTTCTATACTCGCTCAGGATCGGATATAGGCTCCCCCGATTTGGTAGAAGTTTAGTATTGGGATCCATGGGTGTATCAACGGACTTTGAACTCATCAACCCAGTTTCTTCCAAAATATCTATGGCATACTTCCTCCGAGATATAACAATACCATCATTGGATCTGTGCTACCTCAATACCCAAGAAATATCTAAGTTTGCCAAGATCTTTGGTCTCGAAAATGGTGACAAAGATGTTGTTTCAACCGAGAGATGCCATGGTTGTCACTACCTGTAAGAACAATATCATCAACATATACTATCAAGTAAACACATCCAACACTCGAGTGTCGATAAAAGACAGAATGATCCGATTCACACCGAGTCATACCAAATTGTTGAACAACCTTGCTAAACTTTCCAAACCAAGCCCTAGGAGACTGTTTTAGGCCATATAGGGATTTGCGAAGACGACATACCATCCCGGAAGACTCCCCCGAGCAACAAACCCAGGAGGTTGCTCCATATATATTTCTTCTTGCAAATCACCATTGAGGAAAGCATTTTTAACATCCAGTTGATAAAGAGGCCATTGTTGAAGAGCGATCATGGCGATAAATAAACGAACGAAGCCATCTTTGCCACAGGGGAAAAGGTATCTCCATAATCCAACCCAAAAATTTGAGTATAACCTTTGGCCACCAAACGAGCTTTGAGGCGATCAATAGTACCATCGAGTCCAACTTTGATAGCAAACACCCACCCGCAACCAACAACAGATTTCCCAGACGGTAACGGGACCAATTCCCAAGTTCCACTATTATGAAGAGCACTTAGTTCATCTAACATGGCCTGACGCCAACCAGGATGGGCTAAAGCTTCACGAGACGCTTTTGGAATGGTCACGGAAGAAATAGAGGAAAGACATGTATAAAAAGGTAATGACAATCGATGATAACTCAAAGCAATATAATGGGGAGAGGGATTACGTGTAGAACGAATACCTTTTCGGAGGGCAATGGGAAGGTCGGACTCATGTGTCAGATCCGGAGGAGACAGAGTAGTTGGCACTTGAGTAGAGTCACATGGTGGTGGTTGTGATTGGTTTCGAGAACTATAAATCTGAAGAGGCAGTGGAGAAGAAGCTAACTGCGGAGCAGAAACTAATGGTGAAGAAGACACAATTAGAGGGTCACAAACAACAGGAACATTAAATGTATTAGGAGTGTTGACAAGATTGGATGGAGACAGAGGTGAAGTTTGACTTTTAAAATAAAGAGACAACTCAATCAAGAGAACGAGTTAGACGACTGATGGACAACAGGTTAAAAGGAGACCCAGGGACATAAAGAACATTATCAATGGTTAAAGAAGGAAAGAGTTTAACCGTTCCAACACCATGAGATGATACTCTAGAGCCATCAGCCAGTGTAACAGAAGGTAAATGATTAGGAGAGGATAAAGAGGAGAACAAAGATTTGTTACCAGTAATATGATCAGTGGCTCCTGAATCAAAAACCCAAGGACCAGGAGAAAATGATTGGGTCAGACCAGCAAAATATGTATTTGTATGTGTGACGAGATATAGTGGAACTAGAAGACTTGTTGATCCTTATACCATTCGAGAAATTTGTTGAACATAGCGGACATGTCGGATGCAACGAAGAAGGAAGATCCCCTACGAGTATAAAGAGGAGAACGACCATGTAATGTATAACACTTGTTAATCTTGTGACCTAGCTTGCCACAATGTTCACACTTAGGACGCCGTTTTTCCTGTTTGCGAGGGCGAGCCCGGTCATCACGATGGGATGTCAACACAAAAGAATCGTTAACAAAATTGGAAATAGTGGAAGAAGTCATGAAGAGCGGGAGAACAAACCCTGACCGAGACAAGCAAAATCATATGTCACCGGTAAAAAAAAATGAAACTCCGGCGAATTCTCCGACAGCGGCGGACCCAGTGACTGCTCCAGCGGCAGCGGTGACAGTAACGTGAACTAGTACACTAGGTAAGTTCCCAGGAAAGAGAGGTGGGTCACTAATGGACACACTTAAATACCAAGTCTTTCCTTGCCAGAACTTTCCTAAACATGCACTTTCACACTACCAAATAAAATTCAATGACAAAGATAATTCTTTTCTGATGTGGAGGATCAGTTTACCAGCAGCGGTGGGGCGGCTCTAGCAGCGGTGGGGCGGCTCCAACAGTGGACAAAAGGCGGAAAAAAAATTCAAGATAACCTTAAGCTCTAGATACCATGTTGAATATAAAGAAAATATAGTTTGGAATTAATTTCCCTTGTGTATAAATCACACATAGGGTGGTCTATTTATAGTAGAGAAATACAACTAAAAGAGTAACTGAAAGTAACAGAATAAACAGAAGATATTGTTTGATATTGTGGTTACCAATATCTAACAATATCTTAACAATATCAAATAATATATAAACAATATCTAACACAGAGAAATAAAATACCAATATCAACAAGCAACAAAGTTCACCACACCACAGAAATCAGGGCAAAATAAAGCTAGGAACCCTGGACAGCAAGCAATACACCTATTTCTCTTATCTCATCCTTAGAAACTTCTCTCACAGTTCCAAATAATCTTTTAACCAGTAAAATACCATGAGAATGAATGTATCCAAACTGCTTTTTTGTTCAAGCAATCGTAATCCAACAAAAAACAGTGATAACCAAACGCATTAGTCCACTAAAAAACTAACCTAATTCAACCACTTCCTCAACTGAAACAGAGTGAATAGACCAAAAGTTACCTTCATGCCGTGACTGAGAATTTCTGCAGCTTATCACAGTGAGGAGTAGGCAAATTCCTATTCCAACTCCGTCTCTGCATCTCCATTTGACAGTACCTCCGAAGCATACTCCTGTAATCCTTTATCACACTCTCCTCAACTGCCACACGAGCATCACTCCCCACCGGATAATTTGCATCAAACGCTGGCGATTTCACGAAGAACTTCACCCCATGCAGCTCAGTTGTTTTCTGAATCTGGTAGCTGTAGTGCTTGTGCAAGGAATATTCAGGCTCAGAAAACGGCAAGTACGCGAGCAGCACAATGATCAAAAACGGCAAAAGCTGAATCAGAAGCATAACATTGTGATGCCTCCCTCCCGATCCAGCATTAACCTCAGGCCTGTGGTGATTGCCCATGCCGCGGGTCCTAAAAACGTGGTTCCTCCCAAACACATCAGAGTGTCCGAAGAACGTCCTAAATATCTCGTCGGGATCGAACTCGTCTTCGAAGAAATCGCGCGCCGTGGTTCCCGCCGTCGTCCTTCTTCTCCTCCGTCGGAAAGTGTTCACCTCTCTGTGGTCACAATCGTCGACGCTTCCGGTCTGGTCGTACATCCTTCTAGAACCGTCGTCGCTCAAACACTTGAAAGCCATCGAGACCTTCTTGAAAGCGTCTTCGGAGCCTGGCGCTTTGTTCTTATCGGGATGAACCTTGAGCGAGAGCTTCCGATACGCTTTCCTAATCTCCTCGACGGAGCAACTCTTCTCCAATCCAAGAATCGCGTAGTAGTCGCTCTTTCCTTTGATTTCCCTAATCAACTGAACGTTCTCCACCGTGTAATTCGCGTGACTCCTCTCCCCGTTCAAACCTTCGCGGCGCGGAGAAGGACCGGTGGCCGCCACGGGAACGGCGGAGGGGGAGTGAGAATCGAGGCTCTCGCATCTGTGGAGCATTGATTGAATCGGCAAATCGCTGTTGAGGCGCTGAGCGATTTTGAGAAATTTGAGGGCGCGGTCTTTGTTCCCCGACGCAATTGCCTCCTCGGCAATTCGAACGCAGCGCAGTGCTTCGTCCTTGTTACCTTCCATGGCGGAAACAGCTACTTCCCTTACTAAAGCGGAGTTTGAGTGGAGCAGTGGCACATGGTGAATGAAATTGGTTGCGCAAAACCTACTTGTAACAAAAAACACAAGGAAGATGGGAATTAAATGTTGTTGCGATGAATTGGTACATATGAGTATGAATTTCTTTTAGGGATTGAATGAAATTAGGGGCTGGAAGAAGGGAGAAAGAAGCCACGGGTGTTGTTTACTGAGCAATGATAAATACGACAGGGAAATGGAGGGAGGACCTATCTTATTCCAAAGCTTTTTGTCTATGAACTCTCTCGGGTTCAAACTGCTAAGTCATTATTATTCTCTCATTGGAGCATTAATTCTTTCAGGTTTTCTTTCTTCTTGTTCAAGTGAATTGGCCAAATTAAAAAAAAAAAAAAAGTAAAAGAAGAGTAAACTCATCCTAATTTATACTTTTTTTTTAATAAAATAATATTATTATATTATATATATATATATATATATATATATATATATATATAATATAATATGTTGATAAAATTATTTACTTAACTTAACCTCGTAAAACTATTTTTTTAATTGAATTTTTTTTATAGTTATACTTAGAATTAAGTTTCTCGTAAATCGAATTCTAACTTTAAACTTACCACATTTTTTAAATAAAAAATTAAATAAAATATATAATTAAAAATAATAAAAATAATATAAAAATAAAATTTTAATTTCAAAATTTAAATAATATTTATATAAAAAATAATAAAAATAATATATTATTTAAATATATATTAAATTATGTAAATATATTTAAATAATTATTAAAAATATTAAATAATAATTTTTATTATATTTATATATATTTATATATATATATATATATATATATATATATTTTTTTTTAATAGGAAATTTAAAATTTATATATTTTTTTATTATATGAATTATTTAAGTTATAATTTTAGAAAAATATTGATAAATTTAATATATAAAATATTAAAAGTAAAATTAAAAATAAGTTATTAGTAGCAAAATAAAAATGATAGAACATGATATTAAAGAAAAATAATAAAGGTAAAAAGATTTTTATAGATTGAAAATAATAGAGGTTAATGAAGAAGAAAACCCTCTAAAAATTTCTCACTGAAATTCAAGAATAACTACACCAACCAAATCCAAAACGTAATAGACGCCGTCTTCGTCAGTAGACCTGGATACCACTTTTGAGATTAAAATTTTCTTAACATTATTGTTAATAATTTTATTTTTCAATTTTTATTATCAATGATTATGTTATTTTTAATATTATACATTAAATTCTCATCAATTTTTATTATTTTTTATTTTTAAGTTTATTTTATATTAATAATAATAATTTTTAACTAATTAAATAATATTTTTACTTTATTATTTAAAAAAATAATTTTAGCATGAATTTTTTAATATAATATTTATAATTTATCAAATAAAAACTATTACATAAACTTTTATAATATAATATTTAATTTTTTAATATATTACCTAAATTAAATTTTTATTTATTCTATTTTATTCTAAAATTATAACTTAAATAATTCATATAATAAAAAAATATATAAATTTTAAATTTCCTATTCAAAAAAAAAAATATATATATATATATATAAAATATAATACAAAATTATTATTTAATATTTTTAATAATTATTTAAATAATTTAATATATATTTAAATAATATATTATTTTTATATAAATATTATTTAAATTTTAAATTAAAATTTTATTTTTAATATTATTTTTATTATTTTTAATTATATATTTTATATAATTTTTTTATTTAAAAAAAATTATAAGTTTTAAATTAGAATTCGGTTTACTGAAACCTAATTCTAAGTACAATAGTAAAAAAGGTTTAGTTAAGTATATAATTTTATGAGAGGTTCATTTAAATAAATAATTTCATCAGAGGTTCTATTTATATATATATATATATATATATATATATATATATATAATAATAATAATAATAATAATAATATTTTTGTAAAAAAAGTCTCCTAATTTAATTATATGTGTAAGAATGATTTAATTAGATAACAAGGGGTCATACCATGCCTCAGCCAGTCTTGTTTCTAGCTAGTTTTATTGAACCAGTTCATCTATAATTATTTTTTATATAAAATATTTTGTATATTTTTTAAATATTTTTTTAATTATATAAATAAATTTTAATTTTTTATTTACTAATTAATATTTTTATTAAAAAATTAAAAAAATATTATATTTATATATAAAAATAATTAATTATAATTAATAATTTTAATTTAATTATTTAATTGTTATAATTTAAATTATAATATATATTATATAATTCTATATATTTTTTTTAAATTAGTGTGAATTCATAATTTAGTAAACAGATTAAATAAATTGACAAGTAAAAATCATTTATAAGAAAAAATTATGTTTTTAAGTATCTAAACCTATATTGATATGTTTAATTTTAATCCTAGTGACTCTTTTTAGTTTTAGACCTATTGTATTAGAACAAGTTGATATGTATATTGTTTTATATTTTGTTAACACACTTCTCGTTGTTCTTTCTAGAGATTGATAGCTTCTTTTTTATTTTTAGAATAAATTTTATTTGATTAAACTTTAATTTTGTGGTGAGGTATTATTATTTTGATAGTAGATAAACTTAATTACCTTATCATCACTACATCAAATATCACATTCGAAATTAATAACTATTTATTTATAAGAAAAATGGAAAGTAAAAAATTAACTAGTACATAGAAAAAAAATTCCTTTATTTGAAGTAATATTTTATTGAAAAAAAAGTAAATGTTCTAAAAAATATTATTTATATATTTATTTTTACTTTAATAAAATATTATTATTTTTATATATATTATCAGTTTAATTATTTTATGTTTATAAAAATTATAATTATTCATGATCCTATTTGCAATAAACAATAAATATTCTACTAGTTTTTGTAATGACCTGATAATAAAACAGATTGGCAAAATTATGCTCGACTTTTATACAGGCTAAGCCTTAAAAAAAAAATCAACGTAATTTTTTTTAATGAAAGCAAACACCTATAATGTCTAATCGGACTAGTTGTAGAATAATTCCTAGTTTTTATTTAGATGGAAAAATAATACGAAAAAGTAAAAAGGAGTGAAAACGGATAGAAAATAAATTTATTTGGATAGAATGAAAAGTGAAAAAATATATATAAAAAAATAATAAAACATAAAAATGATTTAATTAATTAAAAATTTAATAAAAAAAGAATGATAAATAATAAAAAAATTATTATAAAATTTAATTAAAATAAATATAGATTAAAATTAAAATATGTTTATAATATATTAAATAAATACTTGAAAAAAAGAAATATCTAATAAATTAAAAATAAAATAATTTTTCTGTTATTATATATTTTAATATTATTTTTTAATTATTATCATTATAGAAAAACAAAATAAGAAAGTACATATAATCTATCAATAAACTATAATTATGTATATTAAATTTAAAATACTGCTCTAATAATGAATGAAGTGATAAAATATTACTCAGTATATGAACTTAAAAATAAATATATATATATATGTATATATATATATATATATATATAATTGAAAACTTTTCATACTTTATGAGAAGAGTTTTCTAACTTTCCCTCCTTGCAAATCAATGAAAATCAGTTGATAGAAACAAAATATTTCTTCTGAAATCTTCCCGTTTTCTTTCCTCTTAAATAGTGTTTCGTCGGATACAAACACATGTAGAGAACAATTCCACTCTAGATAATATGATCGTATTATCGAAAAACTAATATTACGGAGAAACAAGAAATAAAAAACTGTTATGTCCAGTTTTGAAGTTAAGTATTAATCATGGCTGCAAGATTATATGGCTTAAAAGAACTTCACGAACTAAAATTTTGTGATACTTAAAATATTAAGAGTTTATTAAGTCGTTTAAATGTTTTCATTCACTAAAGTGAGAAAATTTACAAACTTAAATATTTCATAGTTTCATTCGTAAATATCTATAGTCATTTTGTAGAATTCAACAGATATCAAAATCGATTCATGTGATCACTAACTCGATAAAATATGATGGGAGTAGATGATGATAATTGTGTAAGATTTTATTCTTCGTAGATAAGGAAATATGTACAACAAATAATCAAGTATTATATCCCTCATCAGATAATATTTTGTATTCTTAATTATGATTACTTTTCAATATTATAAATAGACAATTTCTTGGGTTTTCTGAAAACACATTTAACAAATCCTACAAGTTTTATCATATCAGTTCTTACAAAGCTCTCATCATATTTACATTAACATTCTTGTCTGAAAAGACCGGTCTTTCAGGCTCTAATGACACATATAACTGCGACTTTGGAATGCTAAAATTCGGAATACATGTTTATTTTAGTTTTCTTCATCAGAATCGAAAGACTGTCTTTTCCTTACAGATTTTATGACATCCATGCGCTTAACATTTTTGGAATTGAACATACCAGTACAAGACTTGACTTTAGGAACACTAAAAGAACCGAGAGGTGGTGTACCCGTCCCCTTGTTTATTTCCCTGAGCACAGAACGAGCTGTTGCTGCAGCTGCTGCATCTGCCATTGCTGAAGCGACTCTTGAATCACTTGGAAGCTCGTTACTTGACATACTTTGTCGAACTGCTTGTACTTGTGTCTTGGTCAGGTTCTTAGAAACATCAGGTGAATGGTTTGAACCTGATTTTGGCTTGGTGCCAACCACTGCTTCAGCAACTGCTGCTTTAGCTTTTGCTGCTTCATATTTTTGAATATCATAAATAAGCTCTTTCTGCAGCTGCTTATCAGCAACCAATATGTCATCAATCTCATTCTTGTAGTCCTTTAGAATAACACGGAGGCACTCCATGAGAGAACCTATGAGGGGACTATTCTTGGTTGCCAATAGACGTTTCAATTCTATGAAGATGGGAACTGTATTTTGAATAAGGCCCTTCTTGACTACCTGAGTTATAGCCTTTCCTCTAGCTGCAGAACCATTTTCTCCTCCTTCTTCCTCTATATCTGCTGACTCAGATGATGCCCGAGTGGATGGAATGCGTATCTCTTTACAGCCGAGAATTTGAAAAGCATCCTGATCCCACAATTAATGTTAGAATTAGAACATAAACTACACATGAAATACGATAGTAAAGGAATATATTTGCATAACCAATTGCTTACACACGCACACATATGCTGAGCATTAATGACAATCTGGTGACCATAGCTGATACATATTAATACCTGTAGAACAGACTGTGCAGTTACATCTTCTATATTGAGCATACCATCAGAAGCTGCAGCTAGAATTTCCGCACATAACTTGGCAAAGGTTGCTAGAAGATGCTCAGGAGCCATTTGTTTTAGTAAAGAAACATAAATATGCATTCTTTTGTTCCTTGACTCTTCATCAGTACCCCTGTAATGAACAAAGCAGACTTGACATGAATATATAATCCCAAATAAATAACTGTCTTGCCAATTGCTAACTTGGGGTTCCATTACCTGATGGAAAAACTTTGACTTTCCTTTCGTGACCCATGGGACTCACGATGTCCATTATGGGCATGACAGTCGTTCAGTACGAAAACAGCCTCAACAAAACTATTATATGCTAAAAGAGGAGACTTAACTGTTGACAAAAACACAACAATTAAAGCCCAATGAGAAACATATTCAATTCATATAACTGCAAATATAACTATCAAGAAAAGCGTCAGACCTTTCAAAATATTTCCAAACAGAAAATCCGCTAACTGCCTTATCTTTTCGGATTCGTCAACAAGTGACAAAAGGAACCGAAGAAATAGCACTCCTCTCCATTTCACGTAGTCCCTCTAGATAAAAGAAAAAATATTTTTAGCAAATAAATAATTCAATTATTCTCCCTTCCTCTTTTGAAAGGGATAAATAGAAACAATATGTGAAATAAAAGCAGTTGATTCATAAAAATCACCTGCAACAATCTGGATAGTAATATGAACGTTTGCCTTCTCACGAGTTCACAAGGATCTAAGAGACACCTAGTGATCTTTGTTATGTAACTGATAGCTTCCATGAAAAAAAGGTTAGAATAGCAAGGGGAATATTTACTAACGTTCAATAAAAATATTTAAAATATTGGACTTCTCCCGTTGTTCAAGACAAAAATTACTGCTCTACGTATTATACAATCTGCTAACTACGTGTTTAGCAATATGAAAAAGAATACTACATTATTTCTTGACAGTATTATACCCTTTCAAATTCAAAGTCACTTAGTATAAACGAGCCTTACCAATCAACCAGTGCGGTGTACCGAACACAAAAATCTGCCATCATGACCACAATGTTGTTGCGAAGAGCTGCAGATTCGGTCTTTTCAAGCTCCTAGGTATATGTATTTTATAACAGCATATATTTTGAAAAGTAAGAAAAAATATAACTGTCCATGAGGGCATAACATAAACATCAAAGCTACGGGACCAACCTGTACAAACAGAGGAATATAATTCTTAGCTAACTTCCCATCAGCAAGGCAGAGCTTACCCATGGCTAGCCACCCCTGAATATAAAAAGAAGGAGCTTCCCGTTGTAAAGAAGTTGAAGGACCGGGTAGGTTATTTAATTTAGGACCAGAGCTCCCAGAAGTGATGATGGTATGCAATAGAGGAACTACATTGCTCATATCAGCAGATGGGCAAACAATAACTAAAGACCCAACTGTATAAATAGCGGTAACTGCTTTAGACAATGACTTGGACATTGCTACTGATTTGCTGCCTTTCCTGGTCCCACTTCTAGGTGGAGTGAATAAACTACTTTCTGCCTTTTTGTCAGAATTATCTGAAATGAATTTTTCTATTATTCCAGAAGCCATGGAGAGAACTTGGTTAATCCATTTCAAGACTAACGATTCCGCCTCTTCGAGATTTGAAGCTTTCCGCTTGCATAATGTTTTTAGTGCTTTTAAATGAGCGTCAACCTATCAAGCAAAAGAATCAGTTCAATATGGTATACTTTTTATCGATTAACTATATGTATAATTATAGAGTCAACCTCGACCATCATCATTCTGTTCTGCCTCCGTACCTGAGTTTAACTTGTCCATCTTTCTGTCCAGATTTATTAACTTGATTATCAGCTTCTTTTTTTTAATGAAAATAGTAGTTCCATTTACTATTAATAACAAATCTATTATGACAATACTATTTAATATATGTTATATAGCTTGGCTGATTGCTTAAGAACTAAGATAATCATGGAACCAATATTTCTTAATTAAATGATGATGCTGTATAAAATTGTCCAGTTTTATTCATTGTGGGCGCAGGAGTGTAAGTAAAACTGAGATAGGAAATAAAAATAGAACTGAGAGTAAGATATTTACACAGCTTAAGACCATGCAGAAGTGTTAGTTTCAAGGCAACCTTCAGTCCAGTCTAGTCCACAACAAATTAGCATCACAAACAGATTTGATACCAAAATTTTAGAGGTTTTGAGAAGCATTAGTTTTAAATGCCAGTAACGAATTCGATCAATAATACCATGAAATGATTACCTCTGTTGAATGCATGTTGAATGCTTCAACTCGTTTGAGCAAGTTATGAGCCAATTCAGCTGCTGGTTCGGGGGGCAGTTCCACAGAAACATTAGAAATGGTTTGTAAGAGGAAAACTCGATCACTAGCCCAGGCAACAGTATTGTATTCTGTGCTTTCTTCCTCTTCAGATGCATTTTTGTGTAAAATTGGGCTTTTGAACTCACACTCCACTTCATGTTTGTCAAGAAGCTGCCAATGATGACGAAGAAACTCCCAGTCTACTGCTTTTGAAAGGAATGTTGACACCTCTGACAAAAGAAACCAAGCACCTGGTGGGGCAGTCCACTTTTCTATAGGCATTGAGTGACTCAGCCAGAGAGACTCAGATACCTTGATTATATTTTGCAGTGCAGTAACAATTTTCTCATTCATCCGTTTCTTCTTGCCCAGATTTGTGCAAACTTTCTTCACCCAAGGGCTTACCTCCCCATGGCAAACCTCTCTTAGAAGATACAATGTTCCATTGGGAAAAAGCTTCTCCATCTCATTGCCTATACTTTTTCTTTTCATCTTTCCATTAGAAGGTACAATACATGAAGAGGTAGCAGATGCAGCTCTACATACCCGATTCAAAACAAGTTCTTGAAACATGTTCTCACATTCTTCTTGGATGCTTGATTCATTGTCAGTTATTAGACGCGGAACTGAATGTAGCCACTCAGTTATTACTGTTTCAGAAGAGAATGTTCTGAAAGCCTACATGGTATTTAAGTAAATTTCATAAATTATCAGCTTTCACATATCAGTAAAAAGGAACCAAGAAAAACATTTTAGGGGACCAGGGAGATTCGCAACTTATCACATTTATTAAGATTATAGAGATAATTCTTCAAAAACGTAACTCTATTTTATGTACTAAACCTAAAGGCAGAAAGAGTTAGTAGATAATAAAACATACAAAAGCTGTCCAACAGAATGTGCAGGAGAAAATTTCCAGTATTGTAGTCTTTCTATTAAAAATTCATTCAAGGAAAACTAGATGCTAACAACTGTTGGTAACAGGAAAACAAAACAACGCTCTTATTTGTTGGTAACAGGAAAACAAAACAACGCTCTCAATTTTTCTCCTGATACAATTTCAAATGAGTTGTTACAATTATTTATGGCCAAAATATTTGCCTTTTCAAATACCAAACGTAAATCATAATACCTATTAAATAGGTTTACAACTCATTAGTTATACCACTCGTAATTAAAACCATTATAGGAATACTAAACGTCTAATTTAAGTTTTACAATAAATCTCCCCCTTAAACTTAAATACTCTTCCCATCTCTTATTCCAATAAGTCTTTTACAACTCTCCAGCAGTGTAGTTGGCAGTGGTTTGGTGAATATGTCAGCAGCTTGAGCTCGACTTTCAACATGCTCCAGCTCAACCTTTCCTTCTCTAACTTGTTCTCGGATGAAATGAAATCGGACGTCAATGTGCTTGCTCCTTCCATGATTAACCGGGTTCTTTGTCAACTCGATCGCTGACTTGTTGTCAACTCGAATTACAATCCTTTCGTCTTGGATCACTCCCAGATGCCTTAGTAAATTTGAAAGCCAAACTGCATGACACACACTCCAAGAGGCCGCCACATACTCAGCCTCACAGGTTGACAGAGTTACAATGGGTTGCTTCTTTGACAGCCAAGTAAAAGTTGTTTTTACAAGTAGGAACACATAACCTGAAGTACTTTTCCAGTCATCAATATCACCACACCAATCACTATCCGAGTAACCCACTAGTCGGTAGTCATCCGATTTTGAATAGAATAGACCAAGTGATAAGGTTCCTCGAACATATCTCAAAATTCTCTTTAAGGCCTTCCAATGTGTGCAACTTGGATTCTCCATGTATCTGCTCGTTATCCCAACACTCAACATTAAGTCGGGTCTTGTGCTTGTAAGGTATCTCAGACTTCCGATTAAGCTTCGATATCTCCCAGAATCAGCTCGTTCTCCTCCATCAAACTTTGAGAGTTTAGTGCCTGGTTCCATTGGAGTAGAAACCGGGTTACAGTCCTCCATTTTAAATTTCTTTAAAATTTCAAGTGCATACCTCTCTTGGGATATAAAAATTCCTTCCTCTGACTGCTTCACTTCTAGACCAAGAAAATATTTCATCAGCCCTAAGTCTATCATTTCGAACTCTTTCTTCATTACCTCCTTGAACTCCTTAATTAGCTTCGTATTGCTTCCAGTGAATATGAGATCGTCAACATAAAGAGCAACTATCATCATATTCTTTTTTGATTTCTTTGTGTACAAAGCATGCTCATATGGACATTGTTCATACCCATTTTTCTTGAAATACCCATCAATTCTCTCATTCCAAGCACGAGGAGCCTGCTTCAGCCCATAGAGAGCTTTTCTTAATCTCAGTACCTTTCCCTCATCCCCTCTCTTCATGTATCCAGAGTGGTTGCTCAACATACACCTCTTCCTTCGACACTCCATTTAGAAATGCTGACTTCACATCCATCTCGTAGAATCGACCATTGATTCCGAGCGGCTAATGAGATTAGAAGTCGGATTGACTCCATTCTCGTAACAGGAGCAAATACTTCATCATAGTCAATTCCCTCCTTTTGTTTATAACCCTTCACCACAAGTCGAGCCTTGTAACGTTCAACCTCTCCCTCAACATTCATCTTCTTTTTGTACACCCATTTTACTCCAATGGGTTGAGCTCCTTTAGGAAGTTCAGTCAGTTCCCAAGTTTTGTTGCGTTCAATCACTCCAATCTCCTCATCCATGGTTGTTCTCCACTTCTCATCTTGGACAGCTTTCTCAAAACTCAAGTCTTCTGAATTAGCCAAAAGACATACAACATGAACTTCATTTGTAGTGTCGTATATATCCTGCAGACTTCTCATCTTGGGTCATTGTGGCTCTATTTCTTTATCTAAGGACTCAATGGTTGTTATTGTTGAAGGCAAAACAATTTCTCGAACTAGTTTCTTCTTCTGTCGGGTTATTCCAGCACCAATGCTTTGTTTCTTCCACATGAACATCTCGGCTTACCACCACTTTATTATTAACGGGATCAAACAATTTATAAGCTTTAGATTTTCCATCATACCCGATAAATATGTACTTCTTACTCCGATCTTCTAATTTAGTCCTGTGCTTGACTTGGTACTTGCCCATAAGCCATGCTACCAAACACCTTTAGATGAGAGACACTTGGCTTCATACCACTCCATATCTCCTGAGGCGTCTTCTCTCCTAGCTTTGCATGTGGACATCTATTTTGCAAATAGATCGCGCACTGCACCGCCTCGCCCAAAACTTCTTTGGCATATTCTTCCCTTTCAACATAGATCGAACCATATCAAGAATGGTTCGGTTCTTTCGTTCCGCTACACCGTTTTGCTACGGAGAATATGGGGCAGTCAGGAAATGTTTGATCCCATGTTCCTCACAGTATTTGTTGAACTCAGTAGAAGTGAACTCGCCTCCTCTGTCAGATCGGAATGCTTTGATGACTTTGTTTGTTTCTTTCTCCACCATAACTTTGAATTTCTTGAAAGTTTCAAACACTTCTGACTTCTCCTTCAGAAAATAAACCCATGTTTTCCTTGAAAAATCATCAATGAAAGAGACAAAGTATCTCTTACCACTGAAAGATTCTGGAGTTATTGGCCCACACAAATCGGTATGGATCACTCCGAGTTACTGCTTCTGCTCGACACTCAGAACTTCTTGGGAAAGAAGTTCTCGCTTGCTTCCCAATCACACATTCTTCACAGAACCTTTTTCCGAATTCCATTTTAGGCAATCCGAGCACCATCTCCTTTTTCACCAGCGCAGTCAACCCACCAAAATGAAGATGACCAAACCGCAAATGCCACCTCATGACCTCATCCTCCATATCAAATTGCATACATTTATCTTGAACTGTCTTCAGCTCAAGTTTGTACATGCGATTTTTCTTCATTCCCACCAGAGCAACAAGCCTCCCTAATTTATCCTTCAGTTGTAGTTCTCGGTCCTTCATCAGAACCGAGTACCCCTTCTCCATTAACTGTCCCATGCTCAATATGTTGCTTTTGAGATCAGGTACGTAGTATACATCTCTGATCTCTCCGATTTGCCCATTTCTCTGTTGATACCATATCGTTCCTTGACCTTTGACAGCTACTTTCGAAGCATCACCGAAAGAAACAGATCCGGACTCCACCTTTGAAAGTATTTTGAATAAGCGCTCATCACCACACATGTGGTTACTAGCGCCGGTGTCTAAGTACCAAACCGAGTTATTAGAACAGTTCGGTTTGATCTCAGTTTCTGAAGTGTTTGTCACCATCAGCAATCCTTCATCTTCTTCCTCAGCAAGAAAGTTTGTTGGTTCCTCCTTTTTCTTCTCAGACCTACAATCTTTGGAAATATGACCAAGTTTTCCACAATTATAGCATTTTACCGTGTAACAATTCTTGGCAATATGTCCATTCTTCCCACAATTATAGCATTCAATATTGTTTGTGTTTGTCCGGCCACCTCGAGCCTATCCTTGGCCACGCCAGTTCTGTTGACCGTCTTGCTCATTTCCTCGTCCTCCTTTTCCTCTACCACCACGACCTCTGCCTTTTCCTCGGCCTCTGGAGCTCTGAGCATATAGCACCTTCTCCTCTTTTATTGTCGCCTTTGTCTGGAGTGCCTGTTCAAGAGACTCCCCCTTCTTGTTTTTCCTTCTCTGCTCATGCGCTTCTAGGGACCCAGCAAGCTCTTCAAGGGTGAGCGTTGACAGATCCTTGGACTCCTCTATTGCGCACACGATGTTCTCGAAATCATCTGTCAATGATCTTAAGATTTTTTCAACAACTCGGTTTGATGAAAGACTCTCACCATTTTGATTCAGCTTGTTCACCACAGTCTCCACCCGAGTAATGAACTCGGATACGCTTTCAGGCTCTTTCATCCTCATGTTTTCAAGCTCGCCCCTAAGGGTTTGAAGTCGAACTTGTTTCACCCTTTCATCTCCTTTGTTTATTTTTTCAAGTGTATCCCATGCTATTTTGGAAGATTTTGCGTTAGCTATCTTCTCAAAGCCAGATTCGTCGACGGCTCGGTATAGTAGATACAGAGCCGCCTTGTCTTTTGCTCGAACGGCCTTCAATGCGTTCAGCTGGGCATTTGAATACCCATCTGTGTTTGTCGGTTCCTCATACCCATTCTCGACCACATCCCAGTTATCTTGGGAGCCGAGAAGAGCCTTCATTTGTACCTTCCAGTTGTCATAGTTGGTGCCTTTCGTCAACTTGGGTAGCGGGATGTCATTGGTTAGACCTGCCATTTCCTCTCAAGTGTTTGCTCTCAACTCACACACCTCACAAAGCTTTAAGTTGCTCCTCTCACACCGCAGCGTTCTCTCTTGAGATTTGGTAGGTTCTCTCACACTCACCTCACACACAAGCTCTGATGCCAATTTGTTGGTAACAGGAAAACAAAACAACGCTCTTATTTGTTGGTAACAGGAAAACAAAACAACGCTCTCAATTTTTCTCCTGATACAATTTCAAATGAGTTGTTACAATTATTTATGGCCAAAATATTTGCCTTTTCAAATACCAAACGTAAATCATAATACCTATTAAATAGGTTTACAACTCATTAGTTATATCACTCGTAATTAAAATTATAGGAATACTAAACGTCTAATTTAAGTTTTACAATAACAACAACACAACACAACAGCAACCAACAAACCCTACAGTTCTCATGACAAAAGATTCTTCTGTAACTACTCAGGTAAAATGAAGCCTATACCACATCATCATATCTTGACTCTTCATGTTAAGCCACTTAAACTAAGATAAGTTCTCAAGTCGGTCCAATGCATTATACAGAAAAAACGTTACAACTTATGAGAAGTAAATTAACTACCTCTGAAAGAGCTCCAATCGCGGCTTTCCGCATGCTGATAAGTGGATCGGAACAAGCCATGCCCATTGTCTTCAGCACCACTTCATCAATTGCACCTCCAAGAAAAGAAGTCAAATTAGTAACTAGAAGCAATGCAGCTTTCCTAACAGCTGCTTTATCATCCATACACCTTCTCCTTAGCATATCATTCATTGTACCCTCAACATTCACATCGCCAACCTTTCCAAACCCCATAAACTCCTTCAAAACCATACTAGTCCTTTCACCACGGGACAATAACCCCACCAACTGCGCCAAGCTCGACAAAGCCCGCGCCCGAATCGCGCCACTCACATCAGAACACCTCTTCACCAACACCTCCAAGCACCACATTCCCCACGCTTCACTCGCTTCACTCGCTTCACTCTCCACACCCAACGGATCCTTCAAAGAAGTCACCAGATTCAGAATAAGATCAACCGCCAAAAGCCGAAGATTCGCCTTCCCCTGAGCCATCTGCACCACGTACTTCACAAACGCAATCTGATCCTCAACTCCCAACACCCTAACAACCTCCATGATGGAGTCCACAGCTAAGGCTCTAGGCTCGGCCTTCTCCGGCGCCTTCTTCACCAAATACCTCGGAAAATTAACCAGCGCCTTCTTAACCCCATCACATTGGTCAACGAGACTCGTCACAAATCCAAGAGCAAAGGTCCTCGCCTGTGACTTCGCCATGAGAACAAGCGAACTGAGAGATTTCAATACCTCGGCGGCAGTGTTGGAAGGTTCGCCATGCTCGGGTTTGAGAATTTCCCTCAGCAGGCGAGAACATAGGTTGAGCAACTTGCTATAGTGCGCCGTGTTCCCGCACACGTCGAGCGCGGTGACGGGGATTTCCGCGACAGTTTGAATAAGCGACCGGAGAGTTTCCGGGAAGCGGTCCAGGTGTATAAGGTCCATTACCCGGACTAGCTTCTCCAGCACGCGGAGGAGCACCTTGGGGTCGTGTTGTGAGCTAGTGTCCGTAGAATCGTAGTCGTTTTGGGGATTTTTGGCACGGGACCGGCCGGCACCGGCACGCTTTCGCTTGCGGTTTTGCGAGGCATCTTGGCCCGGGCCTGGGCTGGAGTGGGCTTTGCAGGAGCGGCGGAGGGAGCGGAGGAAGGAAATGAAGGAGATGGGAGTGAATAGGGTGAAAACGGGGGCGTTTGGGGCGAGGAGGAGGGAGAGGAAGACGTCGGAAGCGAGGAGCGAGTGGTGGGAAGGGGAAGAGTCCATTGCGGAAGCAATGGGAGCGATGAGAGCAGAGGGAGAGAGATTCTTCGATGGAAGCTCATCGTAGAGGCTATCGGAGAGGGAGTTGTTGAGGAGAATTTGAAGATCCGTTAGGGTTTGTTCTGAGAGCGGTGCTTGTTCCGGGTTTCCTCGGAGATCCTCTATGTCAGAGATTACACGAGACACCGTTTCCTCCATTTCCAACGTGCCGCGCCGTCTTCCAGCCACTGCTCGCTCTGTTCAAATTCTATTCCCGCTCAAAACAAGTCATTTTAATTATGGGCCTATTATTCTATGGACCGACATACAAGCCCAATGGAAAGAGATGTAAAAGATCAAGCGCATGATGAGAAGGGGCTTTTGGTAATTCTGAAAGGTGGAAACTAGAAACCCTGGACTATATATAGGAGTTGCACACTTGCGTTTCTCTCCCTCTTCACTCTCGCGTCGCTCCGTACCAGTTATCCTCGCAAGAACCCTCTACTTGTCGGAGCGATCCGAGAGAAATTCTGCGAACATGTTGGTTTACCAGGACCTCCTTTCAGGTAACTAAGTATTTTTTTCTTTTTTTATTTGATTTAGCTTTTGTGATTAGATCTGTGATTTTGATTTTGATAGTAGAGTGATGAACCTTTTGGATTATTGGATCTGGATGATTTTTTGCTATTTTAATTGATTGATGGTGTCATGCGTGTGATTAAGGCAAATCCGATTATTTTAATTGCTCTCCTTGGAATATTGTTAGGTTATTGCTTTTAGTTAAGTCGTTGGATTTGATTTGATTTTGGTACCTTTAATGTTTGTATAAATTTCTGATTTGCAAGATTGGGAAAGTCTTTTTAGTCGGTCATTGTGATTTGCTGGTTTCTAAGTATGCTTTTTGTTGTTTTAAGTGGCATGGACCTATGATTCGAGTGAAGCGAGAGGTGATTTAGACTTAGGTTAATTGTTGGCTTAACTTATTTATGTACGTTACAAAACAATTATTTATAACGGAGTATTTATGTGTGTGCCGTTCTTTATTTTTCTACTTCTAATATAATTTTTTTCATACCTTTTGTTGAGTATATAAAAGTTGAAAATATATAATAGATGAATGCATGGATTGACGATGTTAACTATATTGTGTAGGTGACGAGCTTCTCTCTGACTCCTTCCGCTACAATGAAATTGAGAATGGAATGTTGTGGGAAGTTGAGGGAAAGGTTAGTTGAATGTTGCTTTTTTTTGTAATTTTTTTTTTTTTGTTTATTTGTCAAACGTAAAATTATTTCAAACACGTTACTTCTAACGTGTTTGGCTGTTTCGGATGCGGTTTTTTCACAGTCATTATGTGTTTCTCAGAAGCTACTAATCTTTATTGCTTATATGTTAAACTTAATACTTAACATGTTTAGGTCCATGTTGCGTGTTCGACATTTTCACATTTGTTATGTGCTTTTCAGAATCTAATGAATTACTTGCTTATATGTCAATCGTAATATTCGAAGTTCAATAATCCCAACATGTTTGGTTCTATGTTGCGGTAGCAATTTTTTCACATTTTTATATGCTTTTATGAAGCTAATAATTTCTCTAATTGGTCAAACATGATATTCCCAGGGTTTTACTATGTTTGGTTCCAGGCGAATGCAACTTTTTCACATTTTTTATGATCCTTCCAGAAGCTTATAATTATAGCTTATGTGATACCTTCTTGTTCAATAAACTCCCAAGTTCTCAATTTATTGTTTTATATTATTCTGTTTGGATTTATTTTTGAAATAGTTTGGTTACATATAGAAGTTAAATCTCTTTTGGTCCTTTTGATGTGCAGTGGGTTGTTAAAGGAGCAGTTGATGTAGACATTGGAGCAAACCCTTCTGCTGAAGGTGGTGATGAGGAGGGCGTAGATGACCAGGCTGTTAAAGTTGTTGATATTGTTGACACCTTTAGACTCCAGGTTTGGGCAACCTTCCTCGTGTATATTTTCTTGTATCATTGTCATGTATTAAATGATGAAAATAATAGTTTTTTCATTTCTACAGGAACAACCTCCTTTTGACAAGAAACAATTTGTTACATTTATGAAAAGATTAATCAAGAATTTGACTCCCAAACTTGATGGAGAGAAACAGGAGTTATTTAAAAAACACATTGAGGGGGCAACCAAATTTCTGCTCCCTAAGCTTAAAGATTTTCAATTGTAAGTATTGCTTCATTAAGTTGAAGTTTGATTTATTTTGTCATTCTATTCTTCTTGCTAGTGCTTAAGAAAATATTTATCTGCAGTTTTGTTGGGGAGAGCATGCATGATGATGGTTGCTTGGTCTTTGCCTACTACAAGGACGGTGCCACTGATCCGACATTTCTGTACTTTGCATATGCCTTGAAGGAGGTTAAGTGCTAAATGATTGGATATGGCAGACTATTTGCCATCCCTTTTATCTTTTTCTTAAGTTACTTGGAACTATGCCTCATTAATTTTTATTTAATGACTAGACTTTTGGTACTTCATTATAATTTCTATCACATTTAGATTTGAATTTCATTAATTTATGAATTTTGATGTTTGAGTTTCGATGGGAAGGACTTTTGTTTTCAAAGTACTAATTTATTTTCATTGTTATATATGCGTTTAAATTTGTAATTATGCATTGCAACCTGCAGAAGCATTTTTCAAAATTTAACAAGCCTAGGAGTTATGATCGTAACTTATATTTACGACACATAAAGTTGTTTTGAATAGTATAATCCTGAAGAAAACATCAAATAATTAGGTATCAATTTATTTATGAGTATGCAATATTCTAATTGAATATTGCCATTACTCTTCCAAGTACGTAACATTTTTTTATGGTAAATAAAAATATTTCAAGGGCACACTTTGTTGAATGAATGTGTCGATGAGTTTTTATATAGGGAAAAGGCATAGTAGTATTACCATTTCTTTTGTGGGCTAGCTTATTCATCTTGTGTTTTTTAAATGAGAAGGGAGGAATAGATGGTTCGGAGTTTGGGTGGGTAATTTATTATTATATTCTTGTACCCTTTGTTTCAATGTGAGACAAAATGAGGAGTGAGAAAAATTGATGTTTGAATAAAAGTTAAACTATTTTTCACATATTAAGACTGTTTATATATATAAAAAAATTATTTGTATTTATGTTTTTCTTATTTCCTCATTAATTAAACATAAAGAAGTTCAAGGATAGATATGGTAATTTAAAAAAGAAGTACAAATCCTCTGCAAATTTAAAATTATTTATGATAAAACTTTGTTTGGATCTTAAATAACTAGGAACTTTAATGTGATGTTTTAAATAACTGAAACAGGTGGATTTTAATTATTCATATTTGTATTTCTCAGCATTGTGCATATATATATATACTCTCTTTTTACTGTTATGACCCGTTTTTACCAACTTTTACCATTATTCTAAATTTACAAATAAGCTTAATCATATTTTTAGTAATTGAAAATTAGAATAATTTTTATTATGAGATTTTAGTTTTCCCAAATTAAAGAAATAATTTAAGTTTTTAACCAATATTTGTTATTTGTGTGAGAGTTTTAGTTAATGTTTTAAAAGTAAATGTAGAAAAAAAAATAACTAGGTTAGAGAAATTTGAAAAAAAAAACGAAAGAAAGAAAACATTTTTTAACAACAGAAAAATGGCGAAAAAATAATTTTTTACAATTATTTAAGTTTTATTTATTTATTATTTTAAATATTATAATTTTTTTTACTTTTTTAAAAAATTAACAAATTTTTCACTTTTTTTTCAATTTTTTTTATTGAAAGTTCTTTTGTAAAGCATCAGGACATGACATCCCAGTAAAATTGGTAAAATTGGTATCTTATGATTTGATTATGAGAAAATATATTTTGACAACTTATTTTTATAAATATTTTATTAATAATGTTAAAATATTTTTTTTAGTTTATTAACAAAAAAGGAATAAAGTAAGATAGATAAATATATTTTGACAACTTATTTTTATAAATATCTTATTAATAATCTTAAAATATATTTTTTAGTTGATTAACAGAAAAAGAATAAAGTAAGATAGATAAATAATAATATAAAAATCTAAAATATAATAATATAAAAATTTAAAATTAAGTTGTTGAATGAATATTTTTTCTTTTTGTGGTTACAAAATATCATAATTCTCTCATCATTCCTTTTTTTTTTTCTCTTCACTTACTTTATCATCCAACTTAAGGTTAGTATCCACTTTGTTTTATTGGTAGAAATTCAGTCCAGTACCAAGGGGATATGATGGTATATAGCATGAGATATTAGATGGATATGAAAGCATAAACACAAGTGCTATCATCGTTCAAAGTGACTCAGATCTCATGTTGTATTCTTTACAATGCAATTCATACACCATCGCATCTATTGTCTCTTTGGAAGAAACACCTTGGGCCAGATTTCTTCAAATTCTCTACAAATTAGCATGTTTTCAACAGACAAGTTTTGTTCAATAGCTAAAACAATTGACTGGTTCTGCTTTATTCACGGCAATAAACGACCTGAACCAATCTATGCGTGTTTGTTGTGATTTTGTGGTAAGAAAAAGAGGTTTTGGGTTGTAACTGAACTGGGTCGTTGTCCTTTCAACCTTTTTAAGTCTCAAAATAAATAACAATTATTACTCGAAAGTAAAGAAATCAAAACAATAACCGATCCAACTAAGTAAATTTGTATTTGATAAACATTATTATAAACTATTTTATTGTTAACTTATATACAAATATTTGTGGTCATGCAAGGTAATTGATTTTGTAAACGAGGGACACTAGAGTTCAAGTAATCAAAGGGCGTGTTGAAATTTCTTTCTTGAGTATAAGTTACTTTGTTTATTATATAGTTATATAATATCATAATATTATTTACTTTTAATGAAATAAAATATTTTTTCACTGAGTAGTGAGAAACGTTTATTTATATTTTAAGACGTATTGTGGTAGAATGATGAAGTGAGTAAGAAAAAAAAATGAAATTGTAGAGAAAAAATATTTAAATGTTGTGATGTAAAAAGAAAAGGAGAACTAATGGTTCGCTTATTGGGAATTCTTGTAAGAGTTTTTATAAATAAAAAACATTACTTTAATCTGAGTTTCATGTAAAAATTATATTTTACAAAATTACTTTTTTTTGTTTTAATCAAATTATGAGTTTCGTATTTAAATAATATTTTTTATTTATTTTTTTTAAAACAATTTTCATTTGAGATACTTAAGTGAACAAATCTAATTGAGTTTATTTAACAATAAATATAAATTAGAGAACTATAACGTGAACACAATTTATTTTTTCTTTATTTTTCAATTCTATTTTTCTTAGTGTTTTTTATATTTTTCTGCAACTAACATTTAACTTTTGTTTTATTTTCTCTCATTTTTATTTATTTTCATCCACCATATTTTCTTCTACTTTACTAAACACGATAGAAAATAAAAACAAGAAGAAAAATAAAGTATGTGTGTGTTCAATATTTTCCTTTTGCACTTTTTACCCACATTTGGTAGCATCTAAACCTACACACATATATATACAAAAGTGACAAATAGGAGATATTTTATAAGGTTTGGTAGAGCTCTAGTTAAATCATTTGCTATGTAGCTTTTTGGTAGATTCATGATATTCATTAACATCGAAAAGGGTATGTTGGTGGTGGATGTACATTTAGAAATGATAGGACAACTAATATGGTCAAAAAATGAATTAGTGGTGGATCCATCTTTCGTTCAAATTAGGGTTCCTACTTAACCCTTCCAACTTTAACCTCTCTTCTCATACTTTAAGCAAAAGCAAACACTTTTTCTTCAAAAATAAGTGAATTGCAATCAAGGGGTGGCAACAAGTTAGGCATAATTTAATAGGATTCCTCTCTCTCTCTCTCTCTCTCTTTTTCTTGACAAAAAAGAAGAGAGAAAGTGAAAGGGTTGGCATGGCCCCCTTTGAGATTCATGTGCGTCATCCTCATTCATTCATATGGGTCATAAATGTGACCAAAACAAGATACCTTTTTTTTTGTGTTTTACCTTCATTTTGAATATGATAAAAGAAAACTCATGTTATAATAATCACCTACCAAAAAAGACATAACATTAATTATATTTATTGAGAATGTACTTTTGTCATCATCAATTGTCTATATTATGAATGTTTGGGTAATATTGTAGGTACTATTGGAAATGCTTGAAGTGTTTTTTCTTTTTCTTTTTTACCTTGTTGGGCTTGGTATTTGTGCCAACACCCACTTCTACCAAAAATTAATAAATGCCTGTAAAGAAATTTGAGGTGAAAATGTTGGTCCTCGCATTAAAATTTCACAACCTTTAACTTTATTGTGTTCAGAATAGTCAAGGACCAAGTCAACTTGTTTACTTGCATGCATCAATTTAATGTTTGTGAAAAAATTATCTTTTAAAAAAAATTATATATATATATATATATATATATATATATATATATATATATATATAAAGTTAACAATAAAGCATGCAAAATTTGATGCATGCAACTATAATCATTTTTTGAAAAAAATGCATGCGTGATATTTTCAAACACTCTGTCAGTATTGCTAAAAGCATATCAAGTCTACAATATTTTTAATTATTATAGTTTTTCGATCGTGTAATTTAAAATAAACATATATTTTATTTGCTTTTAAAAATCTAAAATCTAAAAGATAATATATATATATATATATATAATTTAATAAACATCAAAATTACCTATTTACAAATTTAAAGTTACAAGGACAAAAAAAATGTCTAAGTTAAAACTAAATTAGTTTCCTTTTATCTCACTTGTCAGTTTTTTAAAGTACTTTTTCTTTACTTTAATAATATGATGAAGAATAAAATACATTAGTAAATATATCATTGCAACTATATAATACAGAATTTATGAATATAAAGATTTTTTATATTAAATAATGTTATTTTATCACGTAAATCAGTATAATTATTTTTTAACATATATATTACATTAAACAATAAACAAAATGAGATGGAGAAAGTAACTATTAATAACATACCATTTTACCATGGATTTGTGATGCACACATTCTAGGAATACTAAGAAAAATAATATTTTGTTATGTTTATTTTAAATTGAAGAAAATTATTTAAAATCAAATATATATAAAATTTATAATTAAATATTATTTCTATTTTAAAAAAATAATTTTTAATGTCACTTTTTTTCTTACTTTTTTTTTTAAATTAATATCTTAGAATTCATTTTTTTTATTATTAGTTTTAAAATTCTAATCGATGTAATATCTTTAAAAATATCTCCTTAATTTAAGAAAATAAGAAATATATATATATATATATATATAAATATAATACAAAACTAATTAATATGACATTTTACATCATATTTTATAATTTATTATTTACATTTGACGCGTTTAACAAAAGAGGGAACACGGACATTGTTTTTATATACCAAAGCGTGTGTTTTTGCCAAAATATAATAGAACTCAACAATGTGATTAATAATTATGTTGTGTTGAGTGTATAATTCCTCTACCATTTCCCTAGTCCAGAACGAAAATTAGTTTTCATTTTACATTTCATTATCTTAAGTACATTAAGATTTGTCTTAAATAATTATTTTGAAGCAAATCATTGCTTTATTCCTTCAACTTGTTGATTATAATTCATTTTTCTGTGACTTTATAAGAGTTTCATTTTATAAATAAATTTTAATGCCAGTAGAAAAACATAATGAAAAATACTCAAATAAACTAAAATTCACAATATTTTATAAATGAACAAAATTAGAGTAACTTTCATTTTTTTTATAGTAAATTTGTAAATTTTCCGTTATCTTCCATATTTTTTTAACAGATTTTGATTATTGATAAAATTAAAATATAAAAAATGATTGATAAAGATTCTGTTCATACACAGTATTCTAATTTTGATTTCCAACAATATATTTATAGTTTTTTTTTTAGTTTTCACATTTTTTATTTATTTTGATCTTCTATAAAAATTTAATTTTTATTTTCGCATTTCTCGTTTATTCACATTTTTTAAATTATAAGTTTTTTCGTGATGATGTTGATAATAAAATATATTAAAATGTATTTTTGTAAATTATTTTTTTTATAAAAAATATTTAATGTAATGCAAATAAATAATATATATATATATATATATATATATATATATATTAATGTTTCTTATTCAATGATGAAAAAAATCACCATTTAGAATAAAACATGACGGTCATTTTTATTCTACTTTTTGATTGAGGAACATGTTCCAACCAATGGCATAAAATTAAGGTTATGCAATTTAACTTCGTAAAACACAAATTATTAATATTCAATTAGAAAAATGAAAATGTTTACTACTCAATTTGATATGTGCTTTTATTAAAAATCACTTGAAGTAAATATAATTTTTAAATCTAATTTAGTTTGGTATAATTTCATTTTAATATAAAATTTAAACTAAATCAAATTAATATGTAGTATTATTGATCGTTTTTCATAAACTTTAAACGTAAGTGACATAATCGACCCAAACAAACTAAGAATAAAACAAAATAAAATTAAGAAGTTCAAAATAAAATAAAAAAACCTTTTTTATTGGATTGAATTTCAATAATAGAAAAAAATTGCGATAGGTATTAGAAAGAAAGAAGATTTAGACAACACAATTTTTTATTTAGCTCTAACTTGTGCTGAGTTTATCCCTTTCATAAAAACCATGTGACACACATATGTACTCTCAATGGACACAACATTTTTTGTTGTATCCGAATATTATTAAACCATTCAAATTATAGTCAGACATGCAACAGTACAAATGTAATCAGCAAGACAAATTACTTTTGTCCAATGTGTAATAAATAAAATCGGAAGATTTTTATTTTTAGGCAAAAAATTAATATAAGTTATATTTTAGACATGAAACACATAATTAAAGGGTTAACATGGTTTGGCACAAATTTTTTTAACAAAAAAAAAAAAATCATGTTTCACTCTCTAACTCAATTTTATCAAATAAACAAAATCAGAGGAAAAATGTCTATGTCATTAGTTTCATTTTAATTTTTTCAATTATTTTGTACAAAAATATATTCTGCAAACATTTAATACAAATTATTCTTCAGCTAATAGTGAATTTCATATTTACAAGTATGTTATGATTTTAATTTACTTTTAAAATTTAAATAATTAAAATAAATATTTTAACAATAATTTTTATTTTAGATAAATTTATACATATTGTCTCTATGTTATTATTAAAATGTAATTTAATTTATATGCAAGATTTAAATCATATTCGAATAATATATAACTTTTTTAAACAAAACATGAATACAAAAATGGAGGAAAGTACCCAACAGCGAAAAAGAAAATGGAGAAAGGGGATATGGTAGAGTAAGATGGTTGCGGTGGCGTTTGTTTGATTCATTATTTCGAATTATGCATGTAGGTGGTGAAATTAAAGGGTGGGAGAGTGCAAGGGCATATTAGACATTTCCATACACTTTGGGCAAGAGTAGCAGGAGCGAGTTAGTTCAACGTAGCCGTTTTATAGATTTGAAAATTGGACGATTATGATTATTAAAATATGATATTTAACGTTTAATTAATCTCCAAAATTTCCATTCAGAGGGTTTCTCTCTCTTCTTCTCCTGCATTTCCTTTTTCTGCCATAATCGCCGAAGCAAGCGGAATCCAATTCGTCGCGGTCACTCCTTCGAACAACTCCGTTTCAGATCTGAATCGCCGCCGTTTCGGAGATCCACAGTGCCTGCATTCTCCGTTCAATTCTCGCACCTTTCATGTTCTTCCCGTGAGCCTCGCCGTTTTCTCTCATCTCATTTTCGTTTCGATTTTTTTGTTGTTGCTGTGCTCCTGATTTCAACGATTCGTTCGTTTCGCAGTTTGTGTGGACAGATCTTGAAAATTGGCGCCTCAACGACGTTCACAGCGCCACGCGAGTGGCCAGATGCCGCAGGGCAATGCTGCCGCCGCTGCCGCTCTTCTAGACCACGGCGGCGATGCCGGAGACGCAGTCATGGCGCGGTGGCTCCAGTCCGCCGGCTTGCAGCATCTCGCTTCTCCCCTAGCTTCCACCGCCATCGATCATCGCCTCCTCCCCAACCTGCTCATGCAGGTATCGCATTATCAGCCTCTTTGATTTTGCTTTGTCACAATATTTCATTTAATTTCTGTTAATTGAGATTATTGCTTGTACAATACTCTGCGTTCCGTTTTCTTCTTTTGTTTAGAAGGTGTTAACTAGCATTTCAAGCAATTGTTGCTTGATTTATTTGTTTATTTTTATATTTTTTTTCTTATTTTTTTTTTTTTATTTCTGCTTCTTTTTTTTATTATGTGAATTTTTTTATTTTGTCTTTGCTTGATAAAGGGGAGTTTGGTTGACTATGCGTGTCGTAAGGTTTTTTCCTGTTTTGGATGAGTTTGAGTAAGTTGAAATTTTGTAGTACTTGCTTGTAGGTTATATTACTCAATATGAATCTTGAGCTGTCAGGCATTTTGAAGGGGTTATTATGGTATGGTCTTATTTTAGTTAGAAGCATGCATTGAGTGTAGTGTAGGTTCGATTTACTAAATGATGGTAGTTGATTAGGTGATTCAGATGATCGTTGATGTTGTTGTAGGGTTATGGAGCACAGTCTGCTGAGGAGAAGCAGAGGCTTTTGAAGTTAATGAGAAACCTCAATTTTAATGGGGAATCTGGTTCAGAGCCATATACGCCCACCGCCCAATCGTTAGGTGGAGTGGCTGGGTCTGATGGGTTTTATTCTCCTGAGTTCCGTGGGGATTTTGGAGCCGGGCTTTTGGATCTTCATGCTATGGATGATACAGAGCTTTTACCTGGGGTATGGATATGATTTGATATAATATATCATAATGGTCTGTTCATTCTAGATATTGGTAAAATATGTTCAACATGTAATTTTGACACCTTGTCATTTATGTATTTGGATAAAATAGGTCATGTAATTTACCAGTCTGTCGTCAAAAGCTCTAGAACTGTTTATATTATCTCCTATAACAATTTGTATTGGTTATGGGGAAAATTATAGAACCAGCAATTCAGAAAGTAAAGCTGAGTCAATTTAGAACTTCTGTTTCAGTTATTCAGAAAGTAACTGTTTATTCTCGGTGATCCCTTTACCTTGTAGTCCTGCATTTATCTTAATTTTCATTGATTAGTAATGCAAGGTAGTGTCTGGCCGAGTGGGCTTCTATTTTTGGATAGGGTAGCATTTGGTTTGAGAATATGTTTTTTGTTTTCAGTTATAGCAGTGAAAAGAAACATAAAAGTTATTTTCTCAAACTAAATGAACCCTTAGTTGTACCAGGTTTTGGCTTCTACTTTTTTTCTCTTTCTTTATTCTAAATCCCAAGATATAAGAACACACTACTAAAAAAAAATTAATTCAGTGAGTAATTTTTAAGCTAAAAAAATATCGAATTACCTAAAAGATTTAACTTTAAATTTAAACCTCTTAATTTAACTTAAGCTTTAAAATCTCTTTCACTTTCTGTAAAAGTCAAGTCGTACACTACCTAAGCATTTTCCCTTGCATGTGTTTGATGAGTTTTATTTTTTTACCCTCTTGTCAGCATGTAGTTTCAGAACCTTTCGAGCCATCACCCTTCATGCCTGGACATGCCAGAGTATTTGAAGACGATTTTAATCCAACTAACAGCAAGCTGGAAAGCGTGGAATCAGATGCTGATGCATCAATTTCTGTACCAATGAATGAAAAAGAGTATAGCACAAGGGAAAGTAATGTTGCTAAAATTAGAGTTGTGGTATGTCAAAATTTCACTGCATATGCATAACTTCATTTTATGCAGAGTTCTTATTTTTCGTGTGCTGCGCTGGGGACTTAACGTATGCATTGTGAATACATATTTGAAGTTTGACTTCTGTCCTCCATTCCTTTAATATTTTTGCTACTGATTCTATTAAATTAATTACTTTGAATCCGTTTGTGTGTGTGTATATATTAAATTAGAGTATGCTCATGATATACTCTCCCACGAAGAATGCCAAATAGCATTTTTTCTCTCTTTCAATTTAAATTATTTTGAATTAATTGTACATATCTTATGTATAATGTTAAATAATGATCTTTTAACATATTTTTTCTCTTAAATAATTTTCTTTTAACATATTTGAAAAAATCCATGCTATGCATTCGATACTTGATTGTTAAAATGTTATTTTTTATTCTTTAAGATTTGTATTAAATAATTTTTTGGATTATTTTTTAATGCATGTCTTTAGGTACGCAAAAGACCTTTAAACAAGAAGGAGCTTGCCAAGAAGGAGGATGATATTGTAACTGTATCTGAGAATGCATATTTGACAGTCCATGAACCCAAACTAAAGGTTTGTCTATTGGATTTAAGAACTAGATTCCATTAAACTAATGGTTGAATTTTATCTTTATGTTTATGTTCTCATTTTATTTACTGCTAAAAGATCTGATTGTTCTATCATGATGAAAAAGGTTGATTTGACAGCTTATGTGGAGAAGCACGAGTTTTGTTTTGATGCTGTGCTTGATGAGCAGGTTACCAATGATGAAGTAAGACCCTCTATTGTCCAAGATTAAATTTTGTTGTTATTTGATGACTTTTTTAGTTATCTTGGTATCATCTATTGTTTTCTTTGTTATTGGTGGAATTAGAGGTTTATGAAAGTGAATGATTGTCTCTGTTTTGGTCTTGATTTGCTTGATTTATGGTGTGATTGCTTTATAATAACAGGTTTACCAAACTACAGTTGAACCAATTATTCCTACAATTTTTGAGCGAACCAAAGCTACCTGTTTTGCTTATGGTCAGACAGGTAATTTTATTTTTTGGGTATGGTATCAATATCGTAATAGTACCATACTATCAGTTACCACTTTCACATTTCAAAGATCTTAGCTTTTCATATCATCTATCTATGTGCTTTTTTATGGTTTAACTTGACTAGTTTGTTTATACTTTATACATTGCTTGCCAGAGTGTAATGTTGTTCCTAGCTGGCATGTGTATTATAGGTGTGTAATTTCAACATCTAAAAAATGTTCATTGTTGAGATACTTGTTGACTGAAGTTATGACCTTGTAGTCCTTATAAAGTTTAGATAGTTCTCACTTTATAAAGCTAATTTTATTAGGTTAAATTAGAACTTAGGAGAAAAATCTGGTATCAAACCTTATTCTAAATCCATTATTGGGCACTTGCATTGCCATTCTCAAGGCCCATGGTTCATGTATGAAGGGGTGTGGTGCTTATCATTGTCTTAATTACAATCACCTCTGACCTACCTCAATTGAGGCCTCAAAGCTGGGGTAATTCTCATTTGACAAGCCAATTTTGTGGCGTTGAACTAGACCATAAGTCTAAATTCTAACATGATATTTGAAATTATCCTAGATTTATTATTGGGTCTCTTGTATTTGTCTACTCTCTAGATTCCTATTCCTAGCTGTGAACGGGTGTTGTTATTCGGCCATCCACATTTGTCCACACTCCAAATGTCTAATCTTGGATGTGAGGGAGTGTGTTGAGGTCTCACATCAATTAGAGATATGATCAATATAGCCCTTATAAAACTTAAATAGTTCTTACAAATTGTTTTGTGGGTTGAGTTTAGTAGGAAGACCAGATTCTAAAAATTCCAGTATGTAAAGTGTTCATGTGTTAATGTGGAAATCATGGAGTTTTGGGTATAGAGGAAAGAATTTGAGATAAAGTAGACTTAAGATAATATTCTCTTGTGTATTGGGATTTGTTACAATGTATCAATACATTCTAAAGCACTAACCCATATCTTTACTAATCATCATATCTAAATAAGGAAAAAAAAAATCATGAAATATATGGAAATGAGGGAACCAAGGAGATAAGGAAACTAAGCCTAAGAGATGGAAGGAAATATGGAAACTATTCCTAGAGGATAATGTAAGACACTCCCAAAATATAATCAATATTTTGATATATTCTAATAGTTGAGAGTTGGAAGATATTGATGGCTCTGGTGTAGATATAGATTATTCTTGAAATCAAGTGTTTGAAATTTTCTGGAAATACTTTTTAAATAAAGCTATATTTATAGATGTTTTAATGTTCATTCATGTTCCATCACTTGCATTATTGCGTTGCTAATAATGCTTTGTTTTCAGGAAGTGGCAAAACATACACAATGCAACCTTTACCACTCAGAGCTGCAGAAGATCTTGTTCGACAGTTGCATCAGTCAGTTTACCGGAATCAGAGATTTAAATTGTGGCTTAGCTATTTTGAGATATATGGTGGAAAACTTTATGATCTTCTTAGTGACAGAAAGTAGGTATTTCAATCTTTTATACAAATAAGCTGGGTGTGGTGTGTAAATGCATGTGATGGATAGTCTTGCCATTTGGTTTTGTCTTAAAGCCATTATGTATGCCTTTGGTATAAGTTCTTTTTTATTGACAACCTTGGGCTATGTTAACAGACAACATTTTTAATGTTGTTGGGGATTCAACTGCTTTACTACATGTTTGTTCTGATAAGTATTAACTTTATTTTATATCATGCATCCATTTTTCTTTGTTGTTGGCCCTTAATGTTTTAACTATCTGTTTCAGTTAGATATACATTTACCTACGTCATCTTGCATAGTACATCTACCTGCATGTTTTATTTGCTCTTTGGTTTACAGTGTCAATGTATTGTTGAATGACTATTTTATTAATATATATGGATAGGAAACTTTGCATGAGGGAAGATGGACGACAACAAGTTTGCATTGTAGGACTGCAAGAATTTGAAGTTTCTGATGTACAAATTGTCAAAGAATTCATTGAAAGGGGAAATGCTGCTAGAAGTACAGGATCCACTGGTGCTAATGAAGAGTCCTCCAGGTCACATGCTATCTTACAACTGGTTGTAAAGAAACACACTGAAGTGAAACAGAGCAAGCGAAACAATGATGGGAATGAGGCAAGAAGTGGGAAGGTTGTTGGGAAAATTTCTTTTATTGATCTTGCTGGAAGTGAACGAGGTGCTGACACTACGGATAATGATCGTCAGACTCGGTACTTCTGTGTTTAAATTATCTGCTTATTTGTTAAAACTCTTGAAAAAAAGTAATTGCTTGATAAGACATCTTTGAATTTTGGGTATGGAATCTAGCTCAATTTCACAAAACTAATCGGTAAGATGAGGTCTGACAGTTTTGTAAGCTCTTTTTAAGTCAAATATCTATTTAATTTGGGATTAAACACCACCCTTGATGATGCAACTAAGGCAGCCTTTTGAAAGAGGCTGACATCTTTTCAACACTCCCCCCTCATACCTAAGTCTACAAGCCTTGTGTGTGGCAAATGCTAGTTACCTAACAATGGACTTAGGATATACTTTGATACCATTTAAGAATTTAAACTTAGGGCTTAACTCAATCTTATAAAGTCACAAGACTATTCAAGTCATGTCTCTAATTGAAGTGAGACTGAGTACCATCCTTGAGGCTGTATTTAAGTTAGCTCCCAAAGAGACTGCAATTAATCCGAGCTAGGGATGACCGCATTGAAGGTGGTTTTCCAACAAAATTCTACTATAGTCTTTGCTTGAAGATTTTTGAACAACTCATTACACTACATATTAACAATTTGGTGCATAATCTGAATTTTTGGGTTTGGTATTAAAATGGATCAGTATTGTACCAAGTCAATGCACTCTCCTACTTAATGGATTACTCTTTTAAGTTGGGCTTTCATCTTGTGCTTAAGAGAATGGCATAGGTAGGAGTGCCTCGTGACTTAAGTATCACATTATTTGCGACTCAACATTATCATTCCCTTTATGAGTCTATGTCCAGGGCAGCATCACTACCTATTAGTATGTGGCATATTGCACCTTATAATGCTCATATATAGCCTTTTTCAAGGCCCAATTTTCGAATGGAAACACATAAGGGAGCCTAGCCCAAAAGAGTAGTTCATTAGGTGGAGGGGCTCAATATGAGATTCATAACAACACCATTTGTATCACTTAAAACATGAGGAAAATCAATCCAAAGTACTAGTCCTCAAGTGGGAGATTCTCATGATTCATTGCCAAATAAAGCTCCCTATTCTGCATATGTGGGACTGACTGATAACAAAATTAGCTTCTGTCTTAGAATTTTGAGTTATTGCTTTGTTGTTTTTCATACTTCTAACTTGACTCAATATAGTAAACTGTGGACTACCAAGTCAAGTTGCACAAATTACTATATCCAGATAACAGGCCTGTGCTTTGTATAGTTGAGGCCAAATTGCTTCAATTTTAGAACACTGCTAATTTGCAAGAATATCACGTCAAATCCACTGTTGTTGAGCAGGAAAGCATGATGGATGGAATCTACAGGCGGCCTCCTTCTTGGATAGATTTGTAAAATTATATACAATACAGGGATTCTTTACAAATATAAACCAAATGTACAAACATCTTGGCTGCTGTTAACAAAATTCTAGCATGTTGTGTTGATGTAACTGCTGAAAACTAGATTTGGCAGCTTCCTTCCGTTCCTTCAGATCAAGCACATTTTATTATATTAACAAACAAATTATTTTTGCAATTTCTTTATTATGTTTTTTCTGCTATAGGATTGAAGGAGCGGAAATCAATAAGAGCCTTTTGGCTTTGAAGGAGTGCATCCGTGCTTTAGACAATGACCAGATCCATATTCCATTTCGGGGAAGTAAACTTACAGAAGTCCTTCGTGACTCCTTTGTGGGTAATTCAAAGACTGTAATGATCTCTTGTATATCTCCAGGTGCTGGGTCTTGTGAACACACACTTAATACCTTGAGATATGCTGATCGGTAGGTTTGATATGTGCTCTAACATAATGTTTCATAGCACATTCGTGTTTGATTATACTGACTGTTTTATCATAATGTGAACAGAGTTAAAAGTCTGTCCAAAAGTGGGAATTCTAGAAAAGACCAGGTCCCAAATCCTACACCACAAACTAATAAGGAGATTTCATCTACATCATCCATTCCAGCTAGTGTTGGTGCAGAGGATTTTAACAATCAGCGTCAAGAGAAAACAATGGATGTAGGCAGGAAATTTGTTGAAAAGGAAAATTCTTTTTACAGCTCTTCTGCTACTGTTGACAAACAGCCATTAAGTTTTTCTTCAAATTACCTATCAAATGGGCGGCGAGAGGAAAAAGGCTTACCTTCTGCTTCATTGGACCGGGAGAGGTTTGAACTGAAGAACTCATGTGGTGACTCTATCGGTCAAAAGATGAACTCTTACTCACAAATTGATACAGGTGAGAAATTTCAAAAAGTGTCTCCCCCACGAAGAAAAGGGTCTAAGGATGAAAAATCTGAAAGGTCTGCAAACTTGATGAAAAGGGATTCCATTGGTTCTGATCCCTTCACTACAAGCTCCAAGCAGCATAGCACGGGGAATTATAGCCCTGTGTCTAAGGATGAAAAGTTTGATAGGCCTTCAAACTGGATGAAAAGGGATTCCAATGGTTCTGATCTGTTCACTACAACCTCCAAACAGCAGAGCACAGGGAATTATGTTTCTAAGGATGAAAAATCTGAAAAGCCAGCAAACTGGATGAGAAGGGATGCCAGCACCTCTGATTCCTTCTCTACAGGCTCCAAGCAGCAGATCACGGGGCACTTTAACAATATTACCACTGAATCCAGGCCTTTTGAAGCAGAAACCTTGCCTAACGGGAATATCAATGCAGTACTTGAGGTTTGTCAAATATATGGAATTACTTATTATTAATCAATTTTCAGTTGAATATAACTTGTTCATGCTGGTTTTGTACAATCCATATGGCCGAACTCATCTAGTGGGATAAAGTTTTTCTGTTGTCATATAAACTTGTTTTTGTTGTCTGTTTAATTTCTTTATTGTATTTATGCAGGAGGAAGAAGCACTAATTGCTGCTCATAGGAAGGAAATTGAGGATACAATGGAGATTGTTCGTGAAGTGAGTTATTACATGTTTTCTATGGGTTACTTCAAGTTGTGATTTAATTTCTAATTGATTTCATCAATTCTCTCTTGAACTTGACTTTTTGTGCTGCAATTTGTTATTCGTAATTTCGGATGGCAAAATAGAAACTAGTGCCTTGACATGAACTAGTATGCTATTCATTTATTTTTTAACTTTCAAATGTATATAGAATAGTAAAAGGAAAATTATAGTGCCTTGATATGTACCTATGTTTATGTTTTTCATTTTGTTTTTTACTTGTAAAATTTAAATTTAAGATAACTTGTTTGACAATTATTATTTGTGCTCATCTTCTGGTTTCCAGGAAATGAAACTCCTGGCGGAAGTGGACCAACCGGGAAGCCTTATTGACAACTATGTAACCCAATTGAGTTTTGTGCTATCTCGCAAAGCAGCGAGTCTGGTGGGTCTTCAAGCTCGTCTTGCAAGATTCCAGCATCGACTAAAAGAGCAGGAGATTCTAAGTAGAAAAAGAGTTCCCCGTCAGTAAGAGACTCCCTCGCTTTCTCTTATTCAACCTTATCTGTATTCTCGTGTTTGTTAACAATTTAGTTGAAAGGTTTTGTTTGATATGAGCAAATCTTCTGGTGAATATGTTCTAATTGAATTTACTTACATGTATATGCCCTTGTGAGTCGTGTTACTTTTGGGCAACCTCATGCCTTGGCAAATTTGGTGTAATCTATGTAGTTGTCTGCCCCTAAATTTTTAGTTGGAGGGCAAAGTGAAAAAATAAAAGTAGAATTTGATGCAGATTCATTATTAACGTGTTTTAATATTTCTTCCTTTCCATCCATCCGAAAAATTTCGTATGTATTCATTCTCAAGATCTCGGGATGCAATTATACATATTGCTATACATGAAAATGCGGGAATGCATGGAAGATTTTGGTACTATGAATTTAGGTTTACCATTAATTTAAAAGCTTAAATATATTTATCGCATAGAATTATACAATTCAAAATCTATGCCTCTACTTAATGTTCTGCCGTGAATTTGTCTTACGTATCCATCATTTATTTTTTCACTGTTTCTTCCAAGTTAATCTTTGTGAATGTATATTATTCATTTAACTTACTTTGTATATTTACGGTTTTATCTCAATATTACAATTAAATTAGCATCATGATTATCATCAATGTTATTATCTTTTAAGTTAAATTTATATTTATCATATTTTACTTAAAATTATAATAAGTATTATAAGATAAGTAAATTCTATTAATTAATAATTCAAATTCAAATAATATTCTATTTTATCTTTAAAATCTAATTATACTATTATCGGTTAATAGAATAATTTTATAATAAATATTATGTTATACTATTATATTTAAAATCATATATTTTTGTATAAACGACATATTGAAAAAAGACAATAAAGTTATTTTAATTCCTATAAGAAATTAATTGCCACGTACATTATCAGGAACAAAATGCTGGTAAAAGGACTTGCCAATTTAAACTGATGGAAGATAGTTCTGCAATGGAATGCTGCACTGGTATATCAAATAAAAGAAGAGTGCCATAATAACTACAAATGAAGTTATCATCTTAATTGCCGTTAAACAGTAAAAAGAATGGGATTGGGGAGGGGAGGGAGAAATAACACCTTAGCCTTTAAAACTATGCCTCATCTTATATATATATAGCAATATACAACCTACTGAACTATACACTACACATACACATAAGTTGTATCCAAACAAACACCATAACCAATATACGTATAATCAATTCAGGATTCAAGCTAACAAATGCATAACTCTATAATGGCCATTGCCAAGACAACAATGTAACCTTTCTAATATCTTATACCAAAAACCCCGCGGCGATGTATTAAACTTGCTCAATCATTCCTTTACTCATTCAGCTTTCAATCTCAAGATCTCCTTAGCTGTCCTACGCCGGAAATAAGACATGTTTTCCTACAAATGAAGCAATTCAATTCTCAAAGAATATAAATATTTCTTTAAAAAATTAGTTTAATTGCAATTTTAGTCTCACAGGTATTTCAGGTATTCCGGTTGTACAACTTTAGTTCTTCAAGTCTCAATTTATCAGTTAGATCTTAGAAAACGATCTTAGCTCCTCAGTTCTAATGAATCAATAGGATCTTTCAAATATCGCAATTGTACAATTTAGTTGGAGGGGTTAAACACATATTTGCGATAACTAGGAGTACCAATGGACAACTGAAATCTGAAGATTTAAAATTTATGATATCTGAAAGATAACAAATTAAGCTATAAAAAAAAATTATATGCTATTCTATGAGGCACAAAATACATTTTTGGTAAAGGTTTGGTTTGAATATCTGAAGAGATAATCTTTTTGTTTTGCTGACTTTAACTTCGAAAAAAAAAGCGATTATTTCTCAAAATTTAAGTTTGAATAAAAAGCATGCTAACAAGCATGTCATGTCATGCACAACAAGCAAAAATCACCAATTTTATCGGATTTAAAATGTTTCAGGCAATTAATCAACTATTTTGTCTTAGAAGAAGCATTCTTCGCACTAACATTAAAACACAAGCGAATGGCTTCTAAGTTATTGATTTGGAGAGATTTGGAGCAATTAATTTCCGTTCCTTAGTAAACACGAGTGTCTAGATATAGACTTGAGATAAAGAAAAATATTTGAACTTAAGGGAACATACAGAAAATAAAAACAATTTTCATGCTATAAACGAAACGCTCCATGTCCTACCTGGTTAAAATACAGCTCTAGACCCCTGCTATAAAAGTCCGCATATTTGATCATAAACACCCCACAGTCATATCTGTTCAGATACAAAAAAAATAAAAATGTTCAGAACAAAAATCACCAAAAACTATTCATATTTGCAACAAATACGGAAAACTTGGGGCGTGCAAAGGCAGAGAGGAAAAATAAGGAATAAAAATGGAAATTATCAATGTCAAAATGTTACATTGAGTTCCTTTGAAATTCAAATTAAAGAAGCTCTTCTACTTAAGTACATACAAAAAATATCTCATAAATGCAGAAAGCTTGTGCAACAAAACCATGTTATGATAAGTTTCACTTTACTAAATTAATCAATTACCCTAATAGAAGAACACTCTAGAGCATTAAGTAATATATTTCACTTAATGATTTGATTAGAGCCATTCAATAAAGAAACACTCTCTTATTAATATCTAACCAGTTCCTATTTTATATAAACATTTGTTACAGTATCTCCACAATAAAAATGTAGTTTAAATTGAAAATTGTAAGGAAAATAGATTCCTTATACAAGGGAAGAAGTTCAAGCAATAAGAAGTAAATGTAAATGCTCCATGATACTTAGTTCACACAAATCTATTAGGGCTCTTTATCTTGTGAAAGACAACATACTTGTGGGATTTTATTTTCAAAATGCGTTAAGAGCTACAACTCATTATTCATTGTATATATCTTGTGTTTTGAAAATGTGGGGAAAAATACACTACACTAAACGGCTTCATAGAGTGATGTGCAGATCAGGATACAAACCCATTTTTCTGAACAGGAAGGTCTTTCACAAATTCTTTTTTCCAGGTATTTACACCAATATCTTTTCCAGTCTTGTCATTCACTTCATCCGCAAAATATTTAGCCTGAGAGACATAAATGAAAAGCAATAAATGAACCTAACAACGCCCAATTGTGAAATACATGTACATCTTTCCTCAGTTCTTACAAAGTAAAGACAAACATGAAATTTCAAAACTTTGCTACAACTGCTACCTCTGGTGTTTTAAGTTTAAGGCACCAAAGGCTAGACAAAAGCCTGTACCTGACCAAAGCAGTGTGTTAAAATATTTAAAAATCAACTAGATCAATTGACAATGTGGATAACACAGTTTTCATGTCACATAATTAAATTTAATACTTAAAGTATACTTAACGTATATGCCGCATCATTAGGAAACAGATTTATATCTACAGTGTATAAAATTATAAATCAATTATCTGAATGTTTAAATTCATATGCCATAGACAAACTTCTAAGTATAGAAGTTTAAGCAATAATCACAGTTTTAATTTCTAATTGAGTAGTTCTCTTATTTTATATTTATTTCCCAATTTCATCTATGAATTTGATTTTGATTTCCCTCTAAGTTGATTTCATGCAAAAGCTTTACAACAATTGGTGTTCTAGTTTGTATTATATACATTTTTTATTTCTTATTTTTCTTGGTTATTTGCTTAAACCCACCAAGTGTGTTCAATAATTTTTATATTCGTTAACAAATTTACTCATTTTCTTTCTTTTCTAATCCACTGTTTTTTTATTAATTACTGGACCAAGTTAATGCAGATGCATGTGTTGTCTTTACTTGAAATAGAAAAAAGAAAATAAAGAACTGATTTTGAGAGCCTGAAATCATCTTCTTGTGTTCTCGGAGATAAAAATACAGATTCAGAGATACAATTAATAGAGACATGATTAATCCTAGAGAAGATAAACAGATGCATTCTAGGAACTAGGTCTACAACTAATCTCATAAATGTCCAACAAGATACACTTAATCTAATAAATACTTCAACACTCCCCCTCAAGCTGGAGCATACAAATTGAATGTACCAAGCTTGGAACAAATGAATTCCATTCGAGGTCCTCTCAAAGATTTTGTTAATGCATCTACAAGCTACTCATTGGAACCAACAAACTCAGTACAAATTTCTTTAGTCAACAACTTCTCCCGAATAAAATGACAGTCAATCTCAATATGCTTAATCCTCTCATGAAATACTGGGTTGGAAGCAATGTGAAGAGCAGCTTGATTATCACAATACATTTTCATAGATTGAATCTCACAGAAGTTCAATTCTTGCAAGAATTGTTTTACCCAAACAAGTTCACAAGTAAGAGATGCCATTGCCCTATATTCAGCTTCAGCAGAGGATCGGGCAACAACGTTTTGCTTTTTGCTTTTCCATGAAATGATATTTCCTCCAATGAAAACACAATAGCCTGTAGTGGAATGCCTATCCATAGGAGATCCAGCCCAGTCAGCATCACAGTACCCAAAAATTTGGGTATTTCCCTTATCTTCATATAATAATCCTTGTCCTGGAGCTTTTTTAATGTATCTTAAGATTCGAATGATAGCATTCCAATGATCCACACAAGGAGCTTGCATAAATTGGCCGACAACACCAACTGCAAAAGACAAATCAGGTCTAGTAATTGTCAAATAAATAAGTTTCCCAACCAGTCTTCTATATCTTTCTGGGTCAGAGAAAACTTCACCCTGTCCTGCCATTAACTTCAAATTTGGATCCATAGGACTGTCCATAGGTTTGCAATCAATCATACCTGTCTCTTTTAGAATATCTAGAGCATACTTCCTTTGAGAGATGACAATACCTTCTCTTGATTGAGCTACTTCAATATCCAAGAAATATTTTAGATTTCCAAGATCCTTGGTCTGAAAATGACTATACAAGTGCTCTTTTAGCTGAGATATTTTAGCAGCATCATTCCCTGTGATGACAATATCATCAACGTACACAATTAAATAAACATGTTTGTCAGGGCCAGTGTGACAATAAAACACTGAATGATCTGCTTCGCTGTGTTTTAATCCAAAAGCTTGAACAATAGAGCTGAATTTTCCAAACCAATTACGTGGAGATTGTTTTAGGCCATAGAGGGATCGACGTAATTTACAAACCAAACCAGACTCCCCCTGAGCAACAAATCCAGGAGGTTGCTCCATGTAAACTTCTTCTAAGTCACCGTGCAAAAAAACATTTTTAATATCCAATTGATGAAGAGGCCAATGACGAATGGCGGCCAACTGGTAGAACGAGTACCTTTGCAAATGGCAATGGGCCAACTGGAGTCATCGTTATCAGGAGCCGTGGTATTAAAGGATGATGGTGAAGGACCTGTTATGGATGGCTCATCTTGGGGAATGAGATTGTTCACCTGGGTCCTGTGTTGATAGGTGATGATAGACTGTGATGCTGATTCTAGAGTATTTTGGTTGGGATTTGGGGTGTCAGGAATAGGAGGTACAATTGATTCAACTAAGGGAACAGGAAACACATTTTGGACAGAATCAATATCCTGCATAGAATAAGGGAAGAAGGATGATGATTCAAAAAAGGTGACATTAGCAGACATGTAGTACCTCTTGGTTTCAGGAGAATAACACCGATATCCTTTTTGAAGACGAGAATACCCCAAGAAGACACATTTGATAGCTCTAGGTAAGAGTTTATCTAAGCCAGGAGACATATCATGAACAAAACATATACATCCAAATACCCTAGGAGAAACATGAAAAATTGGTTCCTTTGGAAATAGAATAGAGTGTGGAACTTTATTATCAAGAGAAGAAGATGACATTCTATTAATGAGAAAGCATGCAGTTAGAATAGCATCTCCCCAATGATGAATAGTCATATTGGCACCCAGCAATAAGGTACGAGCAGTTTCAACCAAATGTCTATTTTTTCGTTCTGCTATACCATTTTGCTGTGGTGTGTGAGGACACGTGGACTGGTGTAAAATGCCTTGAGAATTTAGGACATTAGAAAAATCATTAGAAAAGTACTCTTTGGCATTATCACTTGTAAAACTTTGATTACTTTTCCAAATTGAGTTTTGATTTCATTAAGGAAAGACTTAAAGATAGGCAATAGTTCAGAACGATCTTTCATAAGATAAACCCAAGTACATCTAGAAAACCCATCAATAAAAGTAACAAAATATCTAAAACCAAAAGATGAAACACGACTAGGTCCCCATATATCTGAACGAACAATACTAAAAGCAGAATCACATCTAGATTCATAATGATTTGGAAAGGATGACCTGGTATGTTTCCCTAGTTGACAGGATTCACATTCAAGAGTTTGAAGGTTCTGAAGTTCAGGAACCATTTTTTTCAATTTTGCTAAATGAGGATGCCCTAATCGCTCATGTAACAGTTTTGGGGATAAGGACGCAACACAATATACAGATGACTTAGTCCTAAGGTAGTATAAGCCTCCAGATTCACGTCCTTCTCCAATCAGTCGACCCGTACCACGTTCCTGGATAACAAAACAATTGACATTAAAGGTTACTGAGCAATTCAATGATTTGGTTAATTGGCTTACAGAAACAAGACTGAATGGAAAAGAAGGAACACAAAGAACATTTTGAAGGTTTAAAGAAGAAGAGATGGATACTTGACCAATTCCTTTATAGGCTACTTTAGATCCATTAGCTAAAGATATGAGATGGGATGTTTTAGGAAATGAAAGAGAGGAAAATAAAGAGGTATTACCAGACATGTGGTCAGAAGCACCTGAGTCAATAATCCATGGATTTTGACTTTCCACAGATTGCGAAATGCAAGCGGTTGACGAATTTGGTGTTGTAGATGCTTGAGCCAAATTGGTTGATTTCATCTTGATACTCTTCATGAGAGAACTTGGGCTCATCAACTTCAGATTTTGAGGTATTAGCTACCTTATCAAGAAAGCCGTGCAGAGCAAAGCAATTTTCCTTAGTATGTCCCATTCTTTTGCAATGAGAGCACTGAGGACGTCCTTTCCCACCACGTCCTCTAGAGCTGTGATTACCTCTTCCACGAGCAGAAATCATGGCGGAAGAATCAACAAGTTCCTGACTGTTTTTGCTTTTGATAGAAGGAACACAAAGTAGCCTTGTGATTAAACTCTCCGTAGAAGGAACTTCTTCTCCAGTTAGAATCTAGTCTCTAACATGATTAAACTTTGGATTCATAGCCCGAAGAATCATTACCATATAGAATTTATCCAGCTTCGTCTTCCTTTCTTCTAATGATTCTGCCTCCAGGAACATTTTTAATTCTTCAACAGCTGACTGAGCTTCAGCAACAAAGGACATCATGGAATTATCCTCTTGCTTAAGGGAGGCTAGTCTATTAGCAGAATCATAAAGTCGTTGAATATCGTTAGCAAAGATATTTTGAGCATTTTTTCAAAAAGAATTACATGTCTTGAAGGCTCAAAGAGTGCTCAAAATATGTGGTTCAACAGATTGCCATAATAGTGCACAAAGTTGATAATCTAGTTTCTTCCATTGAGGAGCCTGGTCTGCTGGTATAGTACTTCCATCTTCTTCTAGATGATCATGAACTCCTTGACCTAGAAACCGGAGCTCAACAGAGGAAGCCCAAGACAAATAATTTTTTCCATTTAATTTTTCTGTGGTTATAGTCGAAGTCCCAGAAAAAGATACAGACACAGGTCCTGACATTTTCCAGGACCAGCGTGCTGTCAGAGAGAGGACCGAGAGAGGCAGAGAGAAAAACACAGACCCACCACGTTTTGTGACCAACAACACAAAACAAAGTGCAGATCTGGCACTAGGGCGACGAGGCGAGCCGGATAGAGGTGGCCTGGAGCAAAACAGCCACCGAGAGGGCGGTGCGTGAGGCCCACGTGCGGAGGAAGCCGCGGACGAGGGTGGCGCGTGAGGCAGAGATAGAGGAAGCGAACACTGGGATTGGGTCGCGCTCCTTGAGGCGAGCCAAACCCAAGTGTCAGAGAGGAAAAAGGCGCCAAAGAAGACAGCATCGGCGGCGAACGGCGGCGGACGGCGGTGAACGGCGATTAATGCCAGAAAAAAAAACAGATACAGGCAGAGCGGGATGAACCTGCTCTGATACCAACTTGAAATAGAAAAAAGAAAATAAAGAACTGATTTTAAGAGCCTGAAATCATCTTCTTGTGTTCTCTTATTTATAGGAGATAAAAATACAAATTCAGAGATACAATTAATAGAGAGACATGATTAATCCTAGAGAAGATAAACAGATGCATTCTAGAAACTAGGTCTACAATTAATCTCATAAATGTCCAACAAGATACACTTAATCTAATAAATACTTCAACATCTTTGATCTACATATGTTGTCAATAGCTGACAATGGCATTCAGTTGGAAGCTACTAAATAACAAACAAGATTTTAAACCCATCAAACATACCACAATTTTGCTTGGGAGTCAACAAAAAGTTGACAATGAATTCAATTTGGCTTGTTTCGAAATTATACAGAAATTGAACCCATGGACAATTGATGAATTATTCAGATTTGTTAGATATTTAAGATATTATTATTTTAGATATTATAGATATTATTAGTTAATATGTATTTATCATATTTACTTGTACGACTCTTAATTATAAATATATTACCCCATGTATATTTTAGACACAAGGGAATTAACCTTAAACCTAGTTTTTCACTATATTTAACATGATATCAGAGCTTAGGTTCTCCTCTTTTTTTTCCGTCGCCGCCACTGCCCTTGCACCTGCCGAATCCGCCACTGTCACCGCCGCCACCTGAGTCACAGTTCAGACTAGTGATCACACCGTGTCATTGAGATCGCCGCAACTCCATGGACTATTTAAAGTTTTTAAGGTTTTTTCTCTCTCTTATAGCGTAGACAAATTTTCTATTTTCAATGAATTTTTCAAATGGTACGAGACTCGTCAGAACTCTAGTTCCACTATTTCTATTGCACTCCCAGGTACATCTTTTGTTAACCTAATTCAATCTCCTTCTATTGGACCTTGGATTCTTGACTCAGGCGCCATAGATCATATTACTGGGAACAAATCTTTGTTTTCTTTTTTATCCTATCCAAATAATTTTCCTTCGATTACAATGACTAATGGGTCTAGGGTTTTGCCTCATGGTATTGGTACTGTTAAACTTTTTTCATCTTTATCCATTGATAATGTTCTTTATGTCATAGGGTCTCCCTTTAACTTATTATCCATTAGTCGTCTAACCCATTCTCTTAATTGTGTTATTTCTTTTACCAAAGATTTTGTTTATTTACAAGATTGCAGTTTGAGACAGATGATTGACACCAGATGTGAGCCTTACGATTTTTATCATCTCCAACCTTTTACACATGTTGGTGCAATTATGGACTCTCATAGTCTTTATCATCTATGCTCTTCTACACATGTTAGTAGAGTTACGGAGTTTCCATCTCTCCTTCATGCTTAGCTAGGTCCCCCCGGACTTGTCCAATTGCAGCAATTTGTTCCCAGTTTGTCCAATTTATCTTTGTTCCCAATTTGTCCAATTTATCTAGTTTATTATGTGAGTCATGTCAACTAAGGAAACATAGTCTAATTCATTTCATCGTAGTGTCTCACAACATGCTTCGTCCCCTTTTGTATTAGTTCACTCTGACATTTGGGGACCCAATCATGTTAAATCTAATTTAGGATTTCAATATTTTGTTACCTTTATTGATGATTATTCTAGAAGTACTTGGTTGTTTTTAATGAAAAGTCGTTCTGAGTTGTTTTCTATATACCAATCCCTTTTTAATGAAATTAAAACTCAATTTGGAATTTCTATTCGAATTTTGCAAAGTGATAATAGTTGTGAATACCTTTCTCATTCTTTTAAAAATTTATGGCTTCTCATGACATTCTTCATCAAACTTCATGTGCTTATATACCTCAACAAAATGGGGTGGTTGAACGCAAGAATAGACATCTTGTTGAAACAACTCGCACTCTTTTAATTCATGGTGAGGTTCTTGAACATTTTTAGGGTGATGTTGTTCTTACTACATGTTATCTTATCAATCGCATACCATTTTCGATTCTAAATAACAAAATTTCTCATTTTCTTTTATTTCCTCATGAACCTCTACCATCCCTTACCTCTTAAAGTTTGAGTCTATATGTTTTGTTCATAATTTTAGTCTTGACCTTGATATTATCTCCTAAATCACATAAATGTGTTTTTTTAGGATTTACTCAATCACAAAAAGGTGTTTCTCTCCTTCTCTTAACAATTATTTTATTTCTAAAGATGTCACATTTAATGAGTCTTCTTTTTATTTTAAGTGTTTTTCTTCACCATGTGTGTCGCCATCTGTTATTGTCAATATTCTTATTGTGTGTGATTAACCTGGTAGCCCACCTTTGGATTCTCCTCCTCCACCACCATTTCAAGTTTATAATAAAAAACAATAATCCCAAAAACCACCAAATGACTCACGTCTAGTGCCAACTCGTTTTTCTCCTCTGGCTCTGACAACTGAGTTTGACCTTCCAATTGTCCTCCGTAAAGGTATATGTTCTATTCGTAATCTCTCTCCTCGTTATATTACTTTGAGTTACCATAGATTATTTCCACCTTTTTATGCCTACCTTCCGTCCATACTGATTGGCGTCAAGCCATGCTTGATGAAATGAGTACTCTTCAGATTAGTAGAACTTGGGAACTCGTCTTGTTACCGTCTGAAAAATCTGTTGTTGGTTGCAGGTCGGTGTTTGCTACCAAAGTTGGTCTTGATAGTACTATTGACCGTCTCAAAACTAGTCTTATGACTAAAGGTTACACACAAATTTTTTGTTTGGACTATGGTGACACCTTTTCTCCAGTGGCAAAGATGATTTCTGTTTGCTTATTCATAGTCATGACTGCTCTTCAACAATAACCTCTTTATCAATTGGATGTCAAAAATGCTTTATTAACAGAGATTTGCAGGAAGAAATTTATATGGAGCAACCTTTAGGTTTTGTTGCTCAAGGGAGTCTTCTGGATGGGTATGTCGTCTTCACAAATCTTTATATGGTTTAAAACAATCTCCTAGGGTCTGGTTTGAAAAATTTAGTAGTGTTGTTCAGCAATTTGGTATGACTTGCAATGAGGCAGTTCATTCAGTATTTTACCGTTACTCAAGTGTTGGGTATATCTATTTAATACAATATGTTGATGATATTGTTCTTACAGGGAGTGATCACCATGGAATCTCCCAAATGAAACAACACCTTTGTCACCACTTTCAGACCAAAGATCTTAACAAACTTAGATATTTTTTAGGAATTAAGGTAGCACAATCCAATAATTACATTGTTATATATCAGAGAAAGTATGCATTGGATATTTTAGAAGAAACTGAATTACTCAAAATCTGTTGACACACCCATGGATCCCAATACCAAACTCCTACCTAATCAAGGAAATCCTTTGAGAGAAGTACAAACGATTAGTTGAAAAATTAAATTATCTTACTATTACTCATCTTGACATTTTCTTTGCAGTTAGTGTGGTGAGTCAATTTCTTAATTTCTCATGTTTAGATCATTGGAGTGCAGTCATTCATATATTAAAGTACATTAAAGGATCTCCTGGAAAAGATTTGTTATATGATCACAATAAACAAGCTAAAGTTGTTTGTTATTCAGATGCTGACTGTGTTTTTATTGAAGGTAACTTGATCTCTAGGAAGAACAAAAAACAAAGTGTTGTAGCAAGATCTAGTGCAAAAGCAGAATATGGAACTATGACCTTAACCACCTGTGAACTTGTTTGACCTAAACAATTACTTAAAGAATTGCAATTTGAAGATATCACTCAAATGACACTTATATGTGACAATCAGACTGCTCTTCATATTAACTTTAATCCTGTTTTTCATGAAAAGACCAAACATATTGAAGTTGACTGTCATTTTATTTGAGAAAAGATTGCATCTAGAGACATTAAGATTACGTTTGTTAACTCAAGTAAACAGTTAGCAGATATTTTCACCAAGTCTTTATAGGGACCTAGAATTAATTATATTTGTAACAAGTTTGGTACATATGATTTATATGCATCAGCTTGAGAGAAAGTGTTAGATATTTTAGATATTACAGATATTATTAGTCACGATATATGTATTTATTATATTTATTATATGATTCTTAATTATAAATATATTACCCTATGTGTATTTTAGACACCAGGGAATTAACCTTATACCTAGTTTTTCACTATATTTAGCACATATATAAATAATTTTCCTTCAACTTAACCAAATGACAAACTATTGAGATATAAACAATTTTCCTTTGAATTAACCTTAGATGAACTGTTGTCAATATGCAGTAAGATACAAGAACACAAACTTTCCAAATATTAAATGAAAATGGAAGGCAAAGTCCAAACTAAAATAGGAATGAAAATTAAACATGTCTTCCTCCTCAAAAATCTTGATTGAGAACTTAATCAAATCACACACTTCATTGATATAGCTGGGGGTTCAATCAAATCACTCTAGCTCCAAAACACACCACATTACAAAAAACACAGTAAAAAGACAAAAATATAAATAAAAAACAAACCAAACCAAAAATTTGGGTTCTCTAGAGAAAATTTTAACAAATAAAAAAATTTAAACGAATAAAAAAAATTTGTTCCTTCGTTGGTTATACTTTGCATTATATCAAATATGATATTCACAGTTAAATTACATTTAAAAAAAGAAAAAAACTTTACCAGCTTTTCTAGTACAGAACTATCCTCTCCTTTCATTGAGTCAAGGTACTGCAATTTCTTATCTTTCTTATTGATAACTGCCAAGCACCAATGTATCTCTTGATGAACAGGCACAAATATCTGGTAATAACAATAAATCAGGTGAGAGTTCAGTACAAAAACCAATCTAATTTGCTAGAAGAAAAATGAAAAATTAGTTCCAACATAATTACTTTATCACATTCAAGTAAACTGTATCCCAATTTCCGATGGCTTGTCCATCTTCTGACAGATTTAAAATCATAACCATGTGGACCACTTATTAACTGCAATAACATCCAAAATAATAAATGTAAGTGTGTGGTCATTGTGACTAAAATGCATATCATATTAACACCCTCATTTTTTCCATCTGTGCCTTGATTGAGATGTCTCATTATAATATTATTAATGAGTGCCAAACATAAAGAAATTGTCAATCAGAAGCACAAGCACTATGATATCAGTAAAGTTTGCCTTGGTTAGCAATTGGTCATATGTTTGAATATGGAAACAGTCTTTTCACATATACAAGTAATATAAAAGTATATGAAAGAAATAGACAAAACGTATCCCAAAGGACGTGAACAGTGTGTCATGAGTTCCACAGTTCGGAGGAGAAAGAGAGATAAGAGAACAATGTTTCAGAGTTCCACAGCGTGCAAATTAGCTGGAAACTCCACTAGAGTGGCATGAGTTGATTGCAAACACAATTGGGAGCTTTAGGTCAGACAGTAGGCACTAGGGCTGTCAAAACATATGGTTCAGCCTTGCCTCGTAGTCAAGTAAAAATTTATCATTTAATCCAATTTATATTTAAAAACGGGTCAAATTTACGTAATTGAAAATTCTAAAATAATTATATCATACCTATATAAAACAATTTATCCCAAAAATTAAAAAATATTTTTCAATTAAAAATAAAATATATTTTTAAAATAAGTTATATTAAGAAATTAATTTCTATTTTAGATATAATGATTTGATATATAAATTATAAAATGAGATATCCATTCACTTCAAGAATAAGACTTATTCTTCATTCATTTTTTAGTACCTAATGGTCTAAAATAAAAAATTATCTTAATTATTAGATTATAAGAAAATGACAAGTAAATAATTAACTCTTATTGTTGGAATAAATAGATATTTTTTCAAATTAATTTATAATACACATATGTGTTTTAATAATATAATTACTTTTATTTTATTTAAAAAGTAACTATTATTTTTATTTAAAAAATAATTATTATTTTATAAAATAGCTCGACCCATAATTTTATGGGTTAACTTAACCTAAAGTCATTAGGTCATGACTTAAACAAACAGGACCAAATTAACCTGACATAATCCTAGAGGTTGACTTGACCTAAACTCATTAGGTTATGACTTAAACAAGCAAGACCAAAATTAACCTAATTCAATTCAGATCATATTTCTTTGTCCAACCTGACTAAATTTTTGAGCCGGCCCATCACATCAAACCTATTTTGACACCTCTATTGGGATCAAAGAGGAAAGAGAATGACATCATTTAGCATTTGAAAGGTATGTGAGTGGAAAATAAGATCAAATACAACGAAAAGGTGCAAATTCTTTAGGTTCCCCCCAACCCCTCATGCTTAAACAGCATCTTAAATTAATTTTCATTCTATTTCTTTAACACTTCTCTTCAATCAAACACCTCTAATTCCCACAATCTCTTTACTTACATCTTCTCCCTCTATTTCTTTCCTTTATGTCAAACATCCCATCAAGGGGTAAAAAGGGGAAATAGGGAAGGGTGTTATATCAAAGCCAGTAGCAGCCACGAATGGCCATGTATATATATATATATATATATATTAAATAACAGTATACAAACACAAGAACTTCCTGTTGTAAACTAGATTCAAATGATAATATTTTCTTGTTCAACAGTAACCAATGCTTCAAGAGGAGGGAAATGGCCCCCTCTCCTTAGCGGTGGTAATGGTAATCAATAATACAAGAGTGGAATTGTTTTTCTACGTCAACACTAAATGTGCGTGATCTATCACTAAATGGTAATCATGTGAAGAGGTATCTTACCTTTTTGTAGAAAAAGGTATTGAAAAAATGACATTTCAGAAATTTCTGTTGTTGTCTTTGTTCCCTCTCCTTCAGCAATGCTAGGTACAAATTTATTACCTGCACAAAAAATGTGCGTGATCTATCATTGAATTTCATGGTACAAAAATGCCACATCATGATACAGTTGGGTACTACATTCTTCTCTTCTTCAGCAACTCAACAAAGGATAAACAAATAATATAGAAAACAAGTTTACCTCATCATTTAACCACCCAGCTGGTCTAAGGCACTGAAGCTTTTCTCCAGTAATCTCAATATTAGACTTCTCATGGGTAACCAAGATTGTCCACCTGCGTAAGCAAGCGCTTAATGAGCTTACAATACTGATTATACTCTCACTCCTAACATAGACAAATCATAAATTCATACCGGTTGGCAGAAAAGGCGCGTTCAACCTCATCTTCTTCCTCACTAGTGAGAGTAACAAATGGCTCTTGCGGCACTTCTTGTTCCTGAAAATCATTGCGACAGACTGGGCAAATTAACACTAACATTTACCCTGTTTCCCATTCCTCAACCAACCATACCAACCCAACTCTACACATTAGTACTAAAAAATTAAAATAACTTTGAATTTCAATTTTCTATTTCCAATAAGCACTACAACCAGTTGTCTCACTTTACTTCAATTTTCCAAACTTCACACTAAAAATGGAAAACAACAAAAATCTTAACAAAAACTGATACTCTTATTCTTATGAAATTACGATAAAATTTAACCAATTTCATAAATAAAACACAACTCACAAAAGAACAAACTACTATTAAGTAACAAAAATAACACATAAACAACCAAACACACAAAGATGAGAGTGATTGCTAAATGTTAAACAAGTAATCATAATCACCTCAACCAATTCCTTCTTCGGTCGTAACAAATTAAAATGGTCCCTGCGTTTCTCATTCAGGTCAATCTGAAAATTCAGCCTCTGAAACGTGCTACTTCTCCTCCCAACATCCTCAAGCAACTTCTTATACAGATGAACACTTTCAACATCAAGCCGCGTCCCAGAATCCCACACCTTCCCTTCACTCGCCACCTTCAACTCCGAATCAAATGACAACGTCGACTGCGACTGCTGTTGAACCCTAACCTTGTCACCGTCACCACGAGCCTCTTCCACGCTCGAATCAGCGCAAGGCTCATCACTCTCCGCGTCCACTACAATCACCTCTTTTACCTTCTCCACCACGTACACACACTTGGCCAACGCCGAACGCTTCGCTTTCTCGTACTTCGCGATCAGAACGTTCCCCATGGCGTCGCCGGCGCAGGCTCTAACCCTGGAAGCTAGTGGAAATTTTGACGGCCGATACGGCGCGTGAACCTCCCTCGCCAATGGCGTGTGAACCTGCGGATAGAGGGAGAGTCGCGCGACGGCGCTGGCGGAGGACAGAACAGGCTTGGTCAAGATTTTGGGGCGTTTCCGGGGGGAATCCAAACTGGTGCGGTTCACGTTCATGCATTCTTGGGCGCGCTTGCGGTTGGTGGTCATCGCACCCATTGATTGATTGAATTGGAGATGCACAGTGATTGAAGCATCTCCAGCATGTGAATTTGGGGAATTAGGGTTTCTTGTGTGGAAATTCTAAACCCTACACAATTTTCGCGGGGTTGTGCAGTGACTGTGAGTGAGTAGAGTGTGGGTTCGTTTGAATGAAGGCACACAAATTGGTGCTCTGTGAGTATGCTTACTTCAAAAATCAAATTCAAATGCTAGTAGATTATTTAATTCAACATAATTAGAAAAAATTATATACTAATATTTTTGTTTTATTTTTATATGTTTATATGTTGAATATTTTAATTCTTACAAATTTTTAATATCTTAAAAATTATCACAATGTTACAATAATATAATAATAATATCTTTTATTATATTATCACAATGAATTTTTATTGATTTTTTTTTCTTTTTCAAACCGGTTGTATAATCATCCGATTTTTATCCAAAATTTATAAAGTGTTTTCCGAAATACAAATCTGTGATGCTTTCTACTTTTTTTTACTAAAATAATATTATTATATTATATTATATATATATATATATATATATATATATATATTGCTCATAAAATTAATTACTTAACTGAATTTTTAATGAAATTATTTAATTAACTGAATCTCTTTTATTTTATTATTGTACTTGAAATTTAGTTTCTTTGAATTCCAACTTTAAACTTACTACTCTTTTTTAAATAAAAATTAAATAAAATATAATTAAAAATAATAAAATTAATATTAAAAATAAAATTTTAATTTTAAAATTTAAATAATATTTATATAAAAAATAATAAAATTAATATATTATTTAAATATATATTAAATTATTTAAATATATTTAAATAATTATTAAAAATATTAAATACTAATTTTTTATTATATATTTTATTTTTGAATAGGAAATTTAAAATTTATATATTTTTTTATTATATGAATTATTTAAGTTATAATTTTAGAAAAAAATTGATAAATTTAATATATAAAATATTAAAAGTAAAATTAAAAATAAGTTATTAGTAGCAAAATAAAAATTATAGAACATGATATTAAAGAAAAATAATAAAGGTAGAAAGATTTTTATACGAGTAAAAATAATAGAGGTTTATGAAGAAGAAAATTTTCTACAAATTTCTCCCGAAATTCAAGAACAACTACACCGACGAAATCCAAGACGTAATAGACGTCGTCCTCGTTGTGAACCTGGACACCACTTTTGAGATAAAAATTTTCTTAACATTATTGGCAATAATTTTATTTTTCAATTTTTATTATCAATGATTATGTTATTTTTAATATTATACATTAAATTCTGTCAATTTTTATTATTTTTTTTTTTAAGTTTATTTTATATTAATAATAATCATTTTTAACTAATTAAATAATTCATATAATAAAAATATATATAAATTTTAAATTTCTTATTCAAAAATAAAAAAATATATAGAAAAATATAATAAAAAATTATTATTTAATATTTTTAATAATTATTTAAATATATTTAAATAATTTAATATATATTTAAATAATATATTATTTTTTATATAAATATTATTTAAATTTTAAAATTAATTTTTTTTAATATTAATTTTATTATTTTTAATTATATATTTTATTTAATTTTTTTATTTAAAAAAAGTGATAAATTTAAAGTTGAAATTCGATTTACAACTATAATAATTTTATTTTAGTAAAAAAAAAGGGAAGATTAAATACACATGTGGAAAGAAAGAAACAATAAAATAATAATTGCATTCAACTGGATATTTTATAATCCAATAATTTAAAAAAATAAATCTTTTATTACATACTATCCTACTCTAATTATTCAACTACTAAACAGATAGAAGATCAAAATCCTCAATAATATTGATCTACCATACTTGGTAGAGCCGTTGACCAGAGTCATTTGACTTTGGTGTCACGTGTTCCAAACTGGGTGCATCGATTGTCCTTGTTAGAATCTAAGCCTCTGTTTATGCAGATCTGCTGGAGTATTCTTTAACCAATGCTCCAAAAAGTGAAGGCCTTTCTAGCAAACGTGATGGCTTGTCATATTCCTTTGAAAGCCCTGTCAAAAAAGCATTGCTTTAGCCATTTCTTAACTGGAGATAAATGGTGTTGAAATTGTGAAAGTATTGGCAATGGTAGAAGCTGCAAATTATATGACATTTGCTGTTGTAGTTAGATAAGTTGGCATAATTACCTGCATCAATGACTAAAACTTTGTCACAGTCCATGACTGTTGGTATTCTATGAGCAATGCTGATAATTGTACGATCTGCAAAGTCCTCACGGATGATTTTTTGTATCACAGCATCAGTTTGTGAGTCAACGGATGCTGTTGCCTCATCCATGAACAGTATTTTGCTGCGTTTTAGCATGATTCTTCCTAAGCATAGAAGCTGTCTTTGCCCCACACTCCAATTGTCTCCACCATCAACCACTAACAAATAAAATAAAGTAAACTATGTCAGCTCAGAATTTTTCCAAGTAACATATATAAACCAATATCTTAAGCAATGCTTTCTGGCCACATTGGACTAACTAAACTATTAAAAGGAGATTTATGATAGGAGTTAACACCTGAAGCCTCAAGTTTCTCAGGCTTTGCAGCCACCACGTCTTTCAGTTGGCAACGTTCAAGGCTCTGCAGCATCACAATTAAACAGCTAGTTATTAGTTATGAGAATCTCAAATTACAATAAATTGATTGCACTCATGTTCATGCATTTTCGTTTCTAGTGCACACCTAACAATAAGTGAAGTTAGATACAGTTCATGGCCTGTGTTTTAATTCTTTCAACAGATCACAGGAGATTATACACTAAACAAACATACATGCATGCTGCTTCTCTGAATTATATACCTTCCAGATTTCTTCTTCTGAATACTGCCCAAGGGGGTCAATGTTGCTTCGTACTGTTCCTTGAAAGAGAACAGGCTCTTGAGGGATAATTCCAAATCGAGACCTCAGATCATGAAGGCCCAAAGTGCAAATGTTGATCCCATCAACAAATATTTTCCCAGCTGAAGGCTCAATTAACCTAAATAACACTTGAATGAGGGTTGATTTCCCACTCCCTGTACGACCAACTACACCGATTTTTTCTCCTCCTTGAATGGTGAGAGAGACTCCTTTGAGAACCAGAGGAGTATTAGGCCGATACCGAACCTGTTCACCACCATTTAATAACAAAGGTTATCAATTCTCAAAAAGTTTCCACCACACAACTGCATCATATGCCTACTTTTTATGCATAAAAAAATTTATCAAAGTTCCTTTCACTTTAAATGTTTCCTCTTTTGTATGCAAATACCATATCTTAATTTCAACCTTCCATGCTGCATGGTGTCCTTATTTTTGAAATAAACAAGTTTCCCATGTAAAGGAAAATATGAGATTTCGTCAAGTAGTATGGAGAAACCTTTCTAATTAGTCTACATCTACTTTGGTTAAATTCTTTTGGTGCTGTCACCCCACGTTCACTTGTCTTGAGCACTAGAAGCATACTCTTATATTCATTAAAATCTTTAGAAAACTAGGAAATCACAAAGTAAGTTTCATTGAACAAGGCGCAAGACCTACACAGTTTTATAATTTTCAACAAATTTCAGCCAAATATAAACAGTATATACTTAGATGTTTTTGAGTATGTACCTGCACATCGTTTAACTCAATGTGGCCATGGGTGGGCCAATTCTGAGGAGGAGAGGTATCAGCAATTTTCCATGGAGCTTCTGAGGGAAGGTTGGTGAACTGCTTTATTCTCTCAACTGAAACCATTTTGTTCTCGACAGAGCAAGTCATTGTTATGGTAAATGCCAAAAGACTACTGAGGGCCAAACCATAGGACAAAGACAAACCAACATATTCTGCAACAAGTGGAATAATCCTTGGTCAGCAATATTTATCAAAATATTGTGTATCCATGAACGAAATCTCATAAATAAATAAGTCTGCACTCTATAAAACAAAAGTTAATATTTGTTTAGATCTTCTTTTTTCTTCTAGAAGAAATTGCATGACATAAGAATTGACCATAAAGTCCCATGTTTAGATTTCAATTGGTAGGAACTGAGTGATGCAAAGCGGTGTACCTGGCCTAATAATAGCACTTGGGAGAAAGATCATAAAAGTAGTGGCAGTGCTAAGGAAAACCACTCCCATGTAGTCCAAGCGAAAACCAAGCCATTCGTTAGCACCATTGTTGTGGAAATCCATTCTCAGACTAGCATTGACTTTGTCAATATTTTCTTGAGAAAATGCGTTCTGTTTTCTGAAGCCACGAATGGTCATAACACCGGCAATGGTTTCTGAAAAGTGGTGAATCACAGGAGCTTTGGTGATAGAATCAAGGCGAGTCAATTCCCGGGAAGATGCAAGGTAATATTTCTGCAAACCATAACAAGGAAGTGTCAAAATGCACTGAATATTTTGTTTTACTTGTAATCTCAAAACTCGACACCAGCTCTAGAGTTCCTAATCGCTGTGCAGTATCCATGCACAAATATCAACAAAAATCCATCGTGTTTTGGATCATTACATTATGGAGACTAGAATTCAAATAAGAGTGAGTAGACATATCATACCCGATACCAGTTATTAAGATAGAATAGTGGTATTAAGAGGAAGACCGTTTCCCAAGCATTTTGGCATGTTACAACGAGAATGCTGACCACTGAGAAATACGCGACCATTACGAAGTTTACTAGCATTGGAATTGATATATCAACCCAAAGTATATCGGTAGATACCTACACATTTCACAACACAGTTAGTCCAACCAAACACTGCCATTTAAAGAATATGCTAGTTTATGTATTTTACTAGAAAAAATTAACGTGAAAAGTTATGTTAAAACTCACACGACTCAAAATTCTGCCAGAGGGAGTGGTGTCAAAGAATGACATTGGTGCATGCAGGATGCTTTGAAGCATTCCACCGAAGAAGCTTTGAGATGTCTTTAGACCCCAATAGGTAAATAAGAGTGATCTTGTCAT